AAACACGGTCCCAAAAATGGGACCGCCTGGCGGTCCCATTTTTGGGACCACATGCACAGCCTAGTAAAAGAACAAAAGAAAAGCACTTTCACGGTCCCATTTTTGGGACCGTCTGGCGGTACCAAAAATGAGACCACAAAATCGCAAATTCACAGCAAAGGCCGACCCGTGCAACAAACAAAAATTACAACTGCGTTTATTTAAGCAACCAGCATATAGAGTTGGAACAGAGGAGGCCCGCACATGCGAAGCCTGATTTCAATTGACTTTCCGGCCCCAGAAATGGAACCTGAAAGCGCACATGTGGTATCAGCTGTCTCCGTTCCCTAGCTCCAATGTGGCGATTTGCGATGCAGCACCACCCAGGCAACATTCACCAATCCTTCGCTACTCCGCGCTACTCCGCTACTCCGTGCTATGTTTTAATTCAATTACCCAATGTAATTGACACGATATCGAAACGATGGCGGAGTAAGAAAGCCTTCAATACGTCACCTTGCCACATGTTTTCCTAAGCAGATTCCTACTCCATCCCGTTTTAAGTTTATACTATTAATTAATAACGGGATTGACTAAAAAGATCATGATTCATGTTCTTCCTGGGCTGAAAACTTCGGTAGGAGTCTAGAGGGGCACGGGGGGCCAACAAGGGGCAGTAAAGGATTCAATCAATCATTCAAATGGAAGCCGGCCACCTGCGCGAAAACCCACAAACTCCTCAACAGCAAGAAACACTTTCAAGCAATCACCTAAGGGCTGCAAAAGGCAGATGGGCATTCTTTTAACGGCAAACAATCAAGCCACCAGACGCAACGAAATAATAAGAAGCTAACTTAAAGTGGGTTCAAGCAGCAACCGATGTGCACCCCGCTTGCCCCAACAAGAATCAAAATCATCTACAAAACTGCTTGCTCTAACGGACCCAATTCTGGGTCCGGAAAACCTTCTCAAAACCGGCTCCGCTCAAAAGGGCCTCCCTAGCATGTTTCGAAGCTTATAATTTTCGAGAGGATATTGCAAGGAGGAAAATTTAAATCAGGATGAATGGTTACAAGCCCTTGCGATTTCTATCCACCTAGGCAGCAACGTCGCAAGGCAAGGTCCGGAAAACCAGCCATTTTGATCCACATATCTGCCAACGCACGCGCGGATGCCTGCGGATGCCTCTGCGGATGCGGGAGAACCCTTGCGAAGGACCACTGTGGATGCCAAAAACCACCAAAAAATGGCCGCGGATGCATTTCCGGCGTTTGAGAAATACAAAGTAATAGAAGGCAACCCGCCCTGCGGATGCCCAATGGGGTGTGTGGCACATTGTATGGGGGGGGAGGGGGTTTTCTGCCGTTTCCTCCCCTTCCCTCGGTGACGCCTTCGTGTTGCGGAGTTCTCTTCTTCCCACTTGCGGCTTCCATGCCTCTTTCCAAACTTGGCCTTGCCACGCGTTGACTCCCCATCAGGTCTCGCCTCCCAGACTTGGCCCTGCCACATTCTAGGTTCACATAAGGGGTGGTTTCTGCGAAACCGGTGCCTGCCACATGTTGACGTCCTCAAAGGCGGTTTCTTCCACAGTAGCTCTGCCATGCGTGCCTCGGGCAGGCCTCGGTCAGCCTTGGAGCGCCTCGAATGCCGCCACAAACCTGCTTCATCATGGCTCCCAAAACAGGATCCAAAAAACCAGTAGAAACATGGCGGCCAGAAAGGGACCTCGACTGTACAAGAAACAAAGTGGGACGCAGACAGAGAAAAAGCATGTATTAACACTTACGCTCATGCTAGTGCGTCGCAAATCTGCTTGCAAAACCTCTGCGGGCAGCAGCAAAGTTCTCCGATGGCTGACCCCACTTTTGGGTCCAAATCTGGATCCCAAAACGGGGCCCAAGCAAAGACCTAAAAGAGAGAATGAAAATGTGATCCAATTCTGGACCCCATTTTGGGGTCCATATTTGGACCCAAAAATGGAGTCAGCCATCGGAGAATTTCGCTGCTGCCCGCACATGTTGTGCAAGCAGATTTGCGACCCTGCAGCTTGAACATGAATGTCAACTCATACCTTTTTCTCTTTGTGCGTCCCAAGTCTGGTTGCTACTGTACAAGAAACAAAGTGGGACGCAGAGAGAGAAAAAGCATGTATTAACACTTACGCTCATGCTAGTGCCTCGCAAATCTGCTTGCAAAACCTCTGCGGGCAGCAGCAAAGTTCTCCGATGGCTGACCCCACTTTTGGGTCCAAATCTGGATCCCAAAACGGGGCCCAAGCAAAGACCTAAAAGAAGGAATGAAAATGTGATCCAATTCTGGACCCCATTTTGGGGTCCATATTTGGACCCAAAATGGGGTCAGCCATCGGAGAATTTCGCTGCTGCCCGCACATGTTGTGCAAGCAGATTTGCGACCCTGCAGCTTGAACATGAATGTCAACTCATACCTTTTTCTCTTTGTGCGTCCCAAGTCCGGTTGCTACGTATTCCCTGCTGGCGATTGATTCAACTGGGGTCCCAAACTGTTCTGCGGTTGATTCAGTTGATTCCCAAAAGGTAAACAGCCTTGTCCTGGAATCGCATTCATTGGAAGGAACCCTTGTCTCTGAAAACATCCTTGTGGACAAAAACCTACGGCATTTCCCATCGCACCACAACATCCATGTGGTCCATTTTGAGACCCTTGCGAACATTGTCCAGTCACACTGGGTGGAACTGCTGTCATGCTTGGCCACTGTGCTAAGCCCGGTGCACAACTAAGAAACTGACTTTCAACTAAGCTCGGCGCTGCAGCTTGTGGGCACTGACCTTGTTGCATTGCTTGCTGCTGTTGTTGTTGCTGTTGCCTCTGACATGAGCTAAGGTTTTGCGCAGCTTGTCTCGCGCCTAAACCTGGTAAACCTGAGCCTTCGCTTCGCTCTGGGGAACTAAGTGACGACGTGCTTGGTGGCAACCTTGTGTTGTATCCTTGCTCCATTTGTGTTGGTGAACTTGGATCCATACCTCTAGTTTCCCTAGTTACACCTGCCTGTAACCCTTGGGGCATACCTGGACCGTTTTGTTGCATCCTAAACCTTCACCTGACTAGGCCTAGGAGCACGCAGCTCCGCTACCATGTGAAAATCTAGAGACCCAAGTTACCTACGCGAAAACCCTGGGTCGGCAGCAAGGGCGAAAAACCCAACAACACAAACCAAAAAAAAACCTTCCACTCAAACACGCAGTCCGTCTCTCAAGTTCCAACTTTTGCTCAGCGAACCGAAGGAAACAAAGATCTGAAGCTATGTTTCCTGTCCTGTTGCTTTGACTCTCCTTTGAACCAAGCTTGGCTCCTCTTGACTCCTTGAGATGAAAAATGCGCAGTTGCACACACATCTCCTTCTGAAGAATGTCTTGTGACATTCTAAACTGTTTCAAACAGTTCCAAAAGTAAAACTGCTATCTCGGCAAACGCATCGAAAACTGATTTGTACAAATTGGTTGTTTGTTTTCGATTTGTTTCCAAAAAAACTCACGTTCAAACATGTTGGCATGCAGAACCAAATCAAAACGTATCTGGCATTTACTGCTTTTAAAACTTGGGCAAACATTCTTAAAGGCCAACGCGTCATTTGCTTCACTGACAGCTGGCCAGTCCTTGACGTGCTGGTCAAAGGTAACTCGCCCATTGCTGAGTGGCGAGACTTGCTCCTGATTTTTTTGCTTTGTGTCTTGTTCTGTGTTGTTTGGGTGTGTGTTTTTTGTTTTGCTTTTGCTTTGTGGTTTTTGTTTGTTTGTTTTGCGGTGGTCGATATCCTCGCACGGTGAAAGGTCAATGGATTATGTATCGATCCTTATTCAGTTCCTCTTTTGGTGCACTTTGTCGATACGATGATGTTGCCACTGCATTAATTCACTGAATTTGTACATATGCAACTGGCTTTCCGGCATGCTTAACGACCTGGCGAGAGCCATATGGCGTTGGACGGAAAAAAAGAGACTTGCCCCTCATTTTTGAAACTTTGGACGAACAGATCGATGCAATGCTCTGGATGGCAAGAGTTGCTTCGAAATCAAACCCAGCCGATGCACCCAGCAGATTTTCCCTGATTTCCTCAATGAGCTTAAGATTTTGGAAGCCATTTGTCCAATCACTGGCAACAGACTGGAATCCTTTGTGGCGTGAACCTAAAGCGGAAAGGGGAAGATCCAATGTTTGGATCATTTACAAAGGTGGGGTGTCCACCTAATCAGACATCAATGGATGATTTCAAAACGAATGAAACTTTGGACATAAAATCATGTCCAATCGAATTCCCCAATCTGCTTTGCGAAGAAAAGAGCATTGAGCCACAAACGTTCAGTCATGTCAAACAAACGAAACGCAGTGATGTCAGTGATCAGATTCATGTCATTTTATTTCAAAAGTTTTTGGCGCAACGACGACGTAACCCGACAATAGCGCGGCGTGATATATGTATATATATATATATATATGTGTATGTATATATATATACATGCCTCTCTACATGTATGAGTGCTATCACGAAGTGAGAGCATTATCTTTGAAGGAAACAATTTGAAAAATTTGAACCCAACACTCAAACAAATTTTTCCTTAGGTGCAAAACCTGGTACCTGGCAACATCACGCAAACCTTTTGCTCTGTTGCGGAATTCATTTTTCATATGGATTTATTTTTACACTGTGTTTCCAACCTTGCGTTTCAACACACAGTTTACCATGTTCTCTCATGAACTCAATCCATTCCATTCCGACATGGCCATTATCCTCTCAAGGGTGAGGTTGAGGTGGGTTTAAAAAAAGAAAACAAACAACAGTTCCACCTTCACAACCTCTTTTCTTTTGGGGCGCTCCGTAGTTGCATGCGAAGATCTGCAACCGACAAGGGGCGCACTGCTTTTCAGACTGTAGCTGCACGGGCACAACCAACCACTGTGTCGATCCAGTCTTTTTGTTTGGGCTTCTTTGTGGGAATCAGTGCTTGTGCAGTCAGCTTCATTTTTTGGGTGTTTACAATTTGATGCCACCGCCAGTCACAGCCTTGCATTTGTGGACTATCACTGAGTTGATTCAGACTCTACTTTCAATTGGGCTTGAACTGGCACGTAGGTTCAGAATTTCGTTGCCCCCTGTGCCGCCCCAGGACGACACTATACCGTTTCATTGCACAGAAACGTGTCATTGGTGCACGTGCACGTGCGTGAGGACGGCACCAGTGCATCGAACGCATCAGTGTCATCGTCATTTGGGCTTTTGACTTGTTTCCTTTTTACGGGGGTACAACACTCAAACAAGTACAAATGGTTGTGGTTCAAGGTGGTTTCAGAGACCGCTGGCAGCATCAATTTCAGTCCAGACAGCTTGGAGCTGATGGCAGTCAATGTGAGGACTCACAGCAGGACTTTTTTGGGTCGCAGCGTGATGATTTTTCAGATGTGGTTGATGATTCCTTTCTTCATGTGCATGGTTTTGCAGGTTGTGATGCTGAAGGCAGTCCTGACTTGCTTTTTGACCCTGAACAGAACTTGGAACAGAACTCAATTTTGTCGGAGGGTTCCCAACCACGTTTCCTGGAGCCCAGACCAAAGTCCAGACCTCAGAGCACTGTGAGTGAAGTCACACGCGACCTTGGTGTGAAGCGCACTGCAGATGAGTTTGCATCCATGAAGGTACATGGACGTTTTGTTGAGATGAAGCAACCATGGCAAAGGGGTCCACTATCTCACTTATTTGCAAAGCAGAAGTCGTTTTGGGAAAGACCTGCAACTGCCAGTTTGTTTTCAGCCATCGGCATGTCTGATCATGTTACTGCAAGTGATTCAGCAGAAGCGATTCCATGCCCTGTCAAGCAACTGGAAGCCACAGTCCAGCGCCTCAGGATGACCAGGGTCGTTTCGAGTGATGATGATTTCCGCAGGCTATCCTTATCCAGGTTCAAAACCATGGTGTTGCTGGAGGTTGATTCAACCAGACTTGGGCTCTCATTATTGACTTTTGCTGGTACTCTGTGCTCAAACGAGGAGCTGGGACAGATTTTCAATGATGTTTTTGCACCAAAATCTTCTGGTACAATTCTCAAGCGTTGCAATTCCATGTGGAGGTTTTCATGTTGGCTGCAAACCAAGTTTCTGGGGTCCCCGTTCAACCAGAGCGAGGGAATTGTGTACGCCTACATTTGCCACCTCCGCGCTTCAGAGGCTGGGGCAACAACGCCAGCCCAATTTGTTGAAGCATTGCGCTTTTCAAATGCCCTGCTTGGCTTTTGCAAGACCAGCCTTGATGATATGCTCAGTGCACGTGTTGTGGGTGCCTCACACTCCATATATCTGACAAAGAGGGTGCGCCGGCCGGCAGAGGTGCTCACAGTTTCTGAGGTCCAACAGCTGGAATCCATTTGTTTGCAGGATGAGACGCTGCATCACCGTGTCATTGCTGGTCATTTTCTCTTTTGCATGATGGCAGCTGCTAGGTGGCATGATTCAATGCATGTTGTCTCCATGGAACCACCTTTGCTTGTTGGAGGCGGCGACATCAAAGCACAAGTCGTCCCGTACCAAGGAACAGCAGAGGGAGTTGCTGCCTTTTACTGCACTGGGACAAACCTTGGCTGTTGAAAACTGGGCAGACTCATGGCTGAGTGCAAGAGAGGATTCATGCAGCTCAGAATGGTGCCATTTCTTGTGCTCCTGGTCCGAACATCAAGGCGATTGGGCAGACACAAAGATGTCAACCGCTGAGGCCACTTTTTGGCTAAGAGAACTGCTGGAGCCCATGGTAGGGCCAGACCGGTCGGCGGTGCTGACTGTGCACGGCCTGAAGGCCACGATGTTGAGCTGGGCGGCAAAGAGCATGTTGTTCACCCCAGAGGAGCAATTGGCGCTTGGACACCATGTGAGCTCTCACTACAAGTCTGCCCTGATTTACTCTCGTGATAATCAGATTGGCCTTTGCAAAAAGATTTATGACATGATGGACAAGATCAAAGCAGGTACTTTCAACCCTGATGGCAGCCGTGTTCAAAGGTTGCTGCAACTAACGATGGCCAGGGCCCAAGAGTTGCAGTCAGATGATGACAGTGACACTTCATCTACCTCCACTGACGCTTCAAGTGTGGCTTCATCAGAGGGGGAGCACCGTGAGCCGGAACCGTCCTCTTTCAGACGGTTGGATGCGGCAGACATTGACCGAGACCACTGCTTCATCAACACAAGATCAAGGGTCGTTCACTTGCAACTTCTGGGTCAACAAAAATTTTGGTGTGGAAGATGTGCCTCCTCATCGTTCAGGAAGGCGTCCAGAGATGGTTTAGCAAATGCAGAGACTGTGATTTGCGCTAGCTGCTCACACTCTTTCAGAGCGGCGAACCCAGACGATGCAAACTAAATGAACTCCACTTGAGGCAGTTCAAGTGGTCCATAAGGCCTGCATAGAAGATGCATTTGCTGTTGGGCTGCAGATATAAAAAGGTTCAGTTTCATGGGTCTTTTTAGTTTGTTTCTTGTTGAATCGAATTTGAGTGCAACCAAGTGCATCATGTCAGACCACGTTGCAAGTGTTTCCACGCCAACTCACACCATGTCCAAAATTGCATTTCAAACCGGATCCATCGCAGGACCAATCAACAAGAACCCGATGCCTAACATGTTTCAGTTGCATGTGGCAGAGGTCAATTTTGAGATGTCCTTGAGATTGAAATCGTCCGAGTTCATTTGCAATTTCTTGGCTGAGCTGCGTGAACACCACGGCATTGCACAAAACTTTAACTTGGTACTTCAAGTTTCTTGCTAACCAATCTCAGTGGGAAAAATTTCGTTTTTGTCGCACTCCATCGACACTCATGTGTTTTGGTTTTCCGTCTATCCTTCACTCCCCAGCCTTAATTTGTTGTGAAGTTCCAAACTGGCATCAATAGCCAAACTTTTACTTTTTCAGCTGGCCCTCCTCGGGCACCGGGTTGCGAGCTCAATGGCAATAGATTCCAAAGTTGCTTTTGCAAATCGTGCACTGGAACTTGGAATTACGGAAGCTGAAATTGATGCGCTGAAAGGAGTCAACATAACCAGTTATGCTACTTATGCTTACTGTTGCAACTTTCAACCGGGTCAAGCTGACGATGCACCCCTGACAGCTTTCTTGACCACAACGCTGGGAGCCGAGCCTTCAGCTTCAGTTGCATCGAAGTTTCGTAGGCTGTTTTTCGAAGCGCATGCACTTTCACTTGAAGACTTGAAATCTAGGGCAGAACGATCTGAGTCCAGTGAAGCTCGGGTCATTCCTTTGGCAGAAAAGATGGATAGGATCAGGCTCCAAAAGGAGCGACTTGTTGGCATATGTTTTACACCGCAATCAGAGCCTTCACATAGCCTTATTGACAAGGTGTGCCAGCAACTTGATGACAACGTTGTGTCCTACATTGAACTTCAGAAATGCACTTCGAGACAAGATGAAACTTTGCATGCCAAGACAGACACTGCATTGTCTTTGGACTTGTCAGGGAGCCTGAAACTCAGCAAAAGGCAAAAGTTGGAAGATACAAACGTGACAGGTGAACACCGCCTTAGACAGGCATTCTTACGTAGGAACCTTGCCTACGACCTAGCTGGGATTGGCACCTTTTCAGTGATGGATTTGTGGACGCAGAAGCTCTTTGAGAAGATGAATGAGGCGCCTTTGGCTAACTACCGCAGTATTTCAGCTGAGCAAATTCTCAACGCTGACAAGGCTCTTTGGGTTAAGTTGTCAAACGAAACCAGAGGACAGCTTCAGCCCAAAACTGGTGACCCAAAGGCCTTTGACACAGCCTTCCAGAAGTTTTCTGAGCACCCTGAAGTACTGCAGCACATGTGTCCGTTACAGAGCAGCGCGTCGTCCAGACCTGAGAAAGGGGCGAGCTTTTCCCATGCAGCAAAAGGAAAAGGTCAACATTTCTCAGAAGGCAAAGGCAAACATGGCAAAGGCAAATCAAAGGCGCCTGGTCCTGGGATTCAAGTTCCAGACAATTGTGAGATTTTTGTCGACGGAAAACAATTGTGCAAGCGTTGGCAGATTGGACGATGCACTGCAAAGGTCAAGCCAGGGAAGAGATGCATGGTTGGTTATCATATGTGTTGGAAAAAGGGATGCCACAAAAACCACCCGGGCAATGAGTGCCCAATCTGACACTTGCAAACGAAGAAGCAGTTGGATTTCACCCCTGCACATTTTGTGGAGGATGCAGCTTTCACCTTGCCACCAGTGACTATAGAAATTTGTTGTGGGTCAGCGGGACTGTCTTCCGCCTTAAGGCGCTTGGGTTTCCATGTCCATGCAATCGACCACGCGGCCAACCGGCATTCACCAAAGGTTCGAACGCTGGTCTTGGATGTTTCAAACCTGCAGCAGCTGCAGTTACTGGAGTCAATGATTAAGTTTGTCAAGCCATGCTATATACACCTGGGCTTGCCGTGCGGGACGTGTTCAAGAGCAAGAGAAAAGCCCATGCCAAAAAGCATGGGCGGGCACATGGGCCCTCAACCTTTGAGGGATGCTGACAACTTGTTGGGTCTGCCTCACCTTTGTGGGGCTGACCTAACCAAAGTGACCTTGGCAAACCAGCTCTACCGCGCTGCAATTGTCATTCTACAACTGTGTTTTGTTTTGGGCTGCCTGGTATCCATTGAGAACCCTGGCCGCTCCTGGCTGTGGCCGTTACTGGCGCTCCTGGTTCATGAAACTCAGGATCAACCTTTTACTCAATGGTTTTCGAAGCTGGAGGCAGTTTATTTTGATGCTTGTGCGCATGGCAGCTCAAGGGACAAACGCACCAAACTGCTTGCCACGAGCGACCTTTTTTCCACCCTGGCGATTGACTGCCCTGGGGACCATAAACATGCGTCCTGGCAACCTTTCCGTGGCGAGCATGGAGTTGTTTTTCCAACAGCGATGGAGGCTGAATATCCTCCGCTGCTATGCAACCGTATGGCCGAATGTGTGCGACAGTCAGCAGCACACATGGGTGTTATCCCAAGCCTTCAACCACGCTTGAAGGAGCTGCTCAACCTGAATTTGGGGCACCAGACCTTGCGGCATGAGCCGTTGCTTCCAGAGTATGCAACGGTTTTTCAAACAGATGCTCCCCTTCAACATGAATCGCATAAACTCCTGTCAGCTCCTTTTTCACAGGGGCACCATAGCACTGAGCAGCCAGAAGGAACACAGGAACACAAGTCAAAGAGACCGCGAAAGGAGTTTAAATATGGGGTGTGGCATACACCCGAACAGTTCCTGACTAGAGCTGAAGCTGTTGTTCACCCCATGGGCAATGAATCCTTTTGCATGAGGCTACAAAGCATGCTATCAAGAAAGTGGTCAGAACTGACCCTCTGGTTTTGGCAAAGGAGCGCTTGGCCACCGTTTTCAACCTGCGTAAATTGACAAACGAACTGAAGTGCCAAGAGTTGGCACTCAAGGACACAATGCACCCAGATGTCAAAAGATGCACAGCGTCCAAGAACATCCTCCTTTTCGAGCACGTCCTCAAACAGCTTGGTTTTTGGGATATGGAGGTTGTTTCCCTGTTGAAGCAGGGAATTCCCCTGGTGGGGTTGCAAGCGGCCCCTGATGGATACAGAGAGCATCTGGTGCCAGCATCCATCACAGAGGACGAGTTGCTACAATCAGCAGCTTGGAGGCGCAAGTCCTTGATGTGTCAATCCAAGCGCTTCAAACCTGAAGAGGAAGCCGCTCTCCTCGAGACCACGGCTGAAGAAGTGGCAAAGGGTTTTTTGGAGGGGCCCTATTCAGAACAGGAAATTTCCGTTTTGTTGGAAACTGAGGACTGGTCCCTCAGCCCGCGTTTTGTCCTCTTCCAGGGCACTGGCGGCAAAATCAGAGTGATAGATGATGCAAAGAAGAGCTCGGTCAATGCAGCTTACAGTTCCACCGTCAAGTTGCAGCTCCAGGATGTGGACTATGCGGCCAACATGGTCTTGTTCTTGATGTCGGAATCGGCGGCAGCCGGCATTTCAGGTGATGAATGGATGGGCAAGACCTTCGACCTTAGCAAGGCTTACAAACAACTTGCCATCCTTCCTGCCCACCAGAGACATGCGGTGGTAGGATTTCCTGTGGGTGGCACCTGGAGGTTTTATCGAAGTATCTCTCTTCCCTTCGGTTGCACTGGTAGCGTGTATGGCTTTGTGAGGGTGTCACAAGCAATATGGTATATAGTGACTCGGCTGCTATCTGCAGTATCAAGTCATTATTTTGATGACTTCCCCACTTTGGAAAGAGCCCCAGGCTGCAGGGTGCTTTCTCTTGCGTTCAGCGCAGTGCTGGACATGCTGGGTTGGGGGCATGCAAAAGAGGGCGATAAAGCGTTGAACTTTGCGGGTGCCTTTGACTTGTTGGGCGTGAACTTTAACCTTGCTTGGACTCCAAAGGGGATCTTGCAGGTCACCAACAAAGCTACGAGGATCGAAAAGCTATGCGCTCTTTTGGACAAGGTCAAGAGCGACGGAGAGATCACTGCGGCACAGGCCAGTGAGTTGCAGGGTCTTCTTAACTTTGCCATAGGTTTCTTTTCTGGGAAGGCCCTGAAACACTTAGTAGCAGCCTTCATGCCCTATGCTGACCGCGTTAGCCTCTCAAAGTCCGGGGAGCTCCAAGACCTTTGTGCGTATGCCAAATCTATGCTGACTTCTTTGGGCCCCAGGACTCACTCAACCAAAGGTGAAAGAAGGCCAATACTCTTGTTCACGGATGGTGCTTGGGAAGATGGCCAAGCATCTGCAGGTGCCATTCTGGTTGATGGAGATTTTCGCGTCGGGTGCACTATAACTGTACCCGACGTGCTGGTTGCCCACTGGTTGAAGCATGCAGGTGAGCAAATCATCTCTCAGATTGAACTTTGAGCCCTCGTAGCAATCAGGTGGCATTTCCGTGAGCGACTTGAAAGCCGAAGATTAATCTCTTGGATCGACAACGAAGCAGCAAGAGTTTGCGCAATAAAGGCGTCGAGCCCGTCGCCAACCATGAGGGCTCTCACGAGAGTTCTGGCAGACATGGAAGTGGCATGGCCAGTTTTTGCTTGGACGGAACGCGTATGCTCGTTTTCCAACCCTGGAGATTTGCCATCGCGACATAAACTGAGGGAAGCCATGCGTCGCTTCAATGTTTCTGACGGGGGCATTGTGGACGCCACAGCCGAACTTGCCACAACAATAGTTGGACTCCATGAGCGACCTTTTAGTGCTGCTCTCCTTTTCCACAGGGGCACAACACCTGAGCACCAAGCACGAAATGCCAGCTGACAAAGTCACCTGGACATCGTCAGAACATGCAGATCCAGCAACTGCATAGCAAAGCTCAAACCGCTAGTTGTGAAAACGCCCCAGACCAAGGAGCAAGCAGAAAAAGTGAAAGGCCGCACGGAACTCCATTCAGACACTTCATTTCAGTGATGTGAGCATGTTCATTTCGTTTTTCGGCGATCTCCTTTTTCTCCATGTTTGATTTCCGGCGTATTTGCGTATCCCGTATACTTACCTATATGCATATATACATAATTATACATATGCATAGGTATAGTTGACGTATGCCTGCGTTTATGCACCTAAGTTGTTTCTTATAAGATGAGTGCTATCACGAAGTGAGAGCATTATCTTTGAAGGAAATAATTTGAAAAATTTGAACCCAACACTCAAACAAATTTTTCCTTAGGTGCAAAACCTGGTACCTGGCAACATCACGCAAACCTTTTGCTCTGTTGCGGAATTCATTTTTCATATGGATTTATTTTTACACTGTGTTTCCAACCTTGCGTTTCAACACACAGTTTACCATGTTCTCTCATGAACTCAATCCATTCCATTCCGACATGGCCATTATCCTCTCAAGGGTGAGGTTGAGGTGGGTTAAAAAAAAAAAACAAACAACAGTTCCACCTTCACAACCTCTTTTCTTTTGGCCCGCCCTCCCATCCCGTGTGGTGGGGGGGCACAACACCTGAGCACCAAGCACGAAATGCCAGCTGACAAAGTCACCTGGACATCGTCAGAAAATGCAGATCCAGCAACTGCATAGCAAAGCTCAAACCGCTAGTTGTGAAAACGCCCCAGACCAAGGAGCAAGCAGAAAAAGTGAAAGGCCGCACGGAACTCCATTCAGACACTTCATTTCAGTGATGTGAGCATGTTCATTTCGTTTTTCGGCGATCTCCTTTTTCTCCATGTTTGATTTCCGGCGTATTTGCGTATCCCGTATACTTACCTATATGCATATATACATAATTATACATATGCATAGGTATAGTTGACGTATGCCTGCGTTTATGCACCTAAGTTGTTTCTTATAAGATATATATATGTATCTTGACTTTGTGGTCAGAATGCATGCCAGATGTCACTCTGTGGACACGCTTTGTTTGTGCAGCTTTTTGTGTTGAGATATACATGCGTTTGTATGCATGTACATCCTTTTACTTTGAAGAGATCCATGTATGACTATAAGCTTTATGTCAGCTTGCTGATATTTGTTTATAGTATAATGGACAGTGATGAAAGAGCGTCTCTTCAAAAAAAACATGTCTCAAATGAACCATCGGTCAAACGTGTTTTGTGAAACTTCGTTCAACTCTTGTTACTCGTAATGCATGTTGCATTTCTCAAGTGTTGTGCATTCAAGAAAAAATCAATGAAATTTGTTTCGTGTGACATTTCCCTTCAAGCATGTGGTGGGTGGGCGGGAAACTCACAAAATTGTGGGTGTAGAACTTTAGTTTTACCCTCCAACCTTCGTTTCCCACCCCTTTTCTCCCCCAATTTTGTGGGGACAAACCCGTGTTTGGGGGGAAGATCCAATGTTTGGATCATTTACAAAGGTGGGGTGTCCACCTAATCAGACATCAATGGATGATTTCAAAACGAATGAAACTTTGGACATAAAATCATGTCCAATCGAATTCCCCAATCTGCTTTGCTAAGAAAAGAGCATTGAACCACAAACGTTCAGTCATGTCAAACAAACGAAACGCAGTGATGTCAGTGAGTCATGCCATTTTATTTCAAAAGTTTTTGGCGCAACGACGACGTAACCCGACAATAGCGCGGCGTGATATATGTATATATATATATACATGCCTCTCTACATATATGTATATATATATATATATCGTATCTTGACTTAGTTGTCAGAATGCATGCCAGATGTCACTCTGTGGACACGCTTTGTTTGTGCAGCTTTTTGTGTTGAGATATACATGCGTATGTATGCATGTACATCCTTTTACTTTGAAGAGATCCATGTATGACTATAAGTTATCAAACAGGTTGGAATGTCACAAAGTGCCACGCCTGCCACGCAAAACGACATGACAACCTGCTTGGAAACCTTCGAAAAGGAGAGGTTTTGCAGCTTCCCCCATAATGCCATAGACACGGCGAAGCCATAGGAAAACTAGAGACTCGAAACGAGACACGTGGGAGCACCAAAACAAGCATTTCGTGCGAGACTTCCTCCAATTTTCACAGTTTGAAACATGCCGAAAGGACATGTTTTGCAGCTTCCCCCATAGACACGGCGAAACCACCAGAAAACCAATGACGCGAGACGAGACAGGTGGGAACACCAAAACGAGCATTTCGCGTGAGACTTCCTCCAATTTTGACACTTTGCAGCCTCAGAATCGACGTTTTCCTACGAATTTTCGTAAGAACCTCTAAATTTGCTACCTCAAAATCAATGTTTCGTGCGAGGCTTCCGTCAATTTTCAGCACATCTCACAAAATGCCACGCCTGCCACGGAATGTGCACCTTGTCGCCACGTGACGCAGCCCTGCCAATGCGATTTGCAAAAAACATTCAACACGACACGTCTAAAGTGCTGCGCCTGCCACGCGAAATGACGATGGACCCGTCCAAAGTGCTGCGCCTGCCACGAAAACTGCCACGCATCTTCTGAAAACGTCGCAGAAGTATTGCGCCTGCCACACAAAACGACTTTCGACACGTTACAGAACACGTCTGAATGTCACAAAGTGCCACGCCTGCCACGCGAAACGAAGCAACGAAACGTTGGAAACCTCCAAAAATGACACCTCCTGCAGAACTTACCATAGGCACGGCCATACGGTCCTCACACGAACGGTTGCGAACGGTTGCGGACGGCTGCGAACGGTTGCGGCCACAAACGCAACGTCGAGCGAACACACCCTCAGCCCGCAGACCCCCAGAGTGAAACGGGAACCCTTGCTACGCATTCGGGAATAAAAACTATTTTTTCCGATTTCAAAATCAACTCATTTTCTTTACATTTAACGCAATTAAAATATTGCCAAAAATTGGATTTCGAAGCTTCCCCCTAATACTAAACACCCCGGGGTTGACTAGTTTTTAGTATTAGGGGGGGAAACCCACAAATGGTAGGTTGATTTTTCAATTGTTTTTGAAAGGGGATCAATTAAAAATCAAATTGGCCACTCTGAAATTTTCAAAAATTGGAGATGGACACTAGTTTTTAGTATTAGGAGGGGGTTTAGTGATAGGACGAGGGGATTAACCAACTAGACATACTAAGATGTTTCCGCCGAATGGATTTGGTGAATCAGATGTACGCACCGTTTTACTATGTCACTTTTCTTTTCGCTTTAGCCTCTTGGTTGAGGTACGTAGATTTGGATCCAACAGAAAACACTAATCTTTGTTGCCACTGAACGGGTTGCGACTGCTCCCATCACATGGGACACTTTGGCGGTTTTGCCGTGGCTCAGCTTGTAACAGTGCCAGCCTGTCGGTCGTCCAGCTGCTCTCCAGGTGGGGTCTTTGTGTTTTTTTTCCTCAAATGGTCAAGTGATGGGGATACCCCAATGGCTGGATGGTTTAATGGAAAATCCATTTATAAATGGATGATTTAGGGGTACCTTCATTTGAGGAAACCCTCAAGTGTTTCTAGCCCCATGGCAAGCCGCAGCAACAGAATCGCCAGATTAAACTCCAGCCATTTCCAGCCCAGGATGGCAAGTCAACGGCCGCTCCTTGCTGTGCTGCTGCTGGCAGCTCTGTGCCGTAGCTTGAATACTGGTTTCAATTACAGAAGGAACATGAAGGAACTACGTTCAAAAAGGCATATTATCGGGAGGTGTCATGATTATAATCTAAAATAACATGCTGCGAATACGCTTAGATTTATGGGCACCCCATTTTTACCCAGATGGATCAAAGTACTGACTCCATGCTGAAACTGCCTGATCCAAACAGTTGAACCTCAAATCTGCCGGGCATCGAAGCAAGGGTCATATGGAGAGCATGTCAATAAATATGCAGCTGTACACAGCCTGAAGATTCAGGCACCAGAAACGTAGATTCAAAGAAGATGAATTGTGGGCACTGGCAAACGTTGCTAGTGAAAGGTGCCTAAAGGCCGTCAACACACCAAGCGGACCTTTCAAAAAACATCGGAAAATTGCGAGTCATCGATTAGGGAAACAACCATCCGTTTCCGGAATTGATTTCCTGTAACATTTATAGGAATCCCCATACTTCGGAACCCCCCATTTTTCTCTTACCTTTTGGGTTGTCATTGGATTGGTTGATGGTAAAAAAAACATGGATTCTGCCATGGACGATAGTTATATAATATATAATAACATCAAGAGTACCATTAACAAATATTCCCACTTCATAGTTAACTATGTATATAGTATATAGTAATATATTACTCATGTATTACTATAAATATATATATATATATCTATATAGTATTACTCCTTCCCCAATATTACTTTATTACTACTATGATATTACTACTGCAATATTACTTTTTTACTACTATGATATTACTACTGCAATATTACTTTATTACTACTATAATATTACGATATAATATTTACCAACATATTTTCTCAACCCATTTTCCCGGGCAAAAAAGGTGCTACTTCGCTGCACCCAGCGCTTCTAGCGCCTTCATCGCTCCAGCCGCCAAGTCCCAGGCGCTTCACGAGGAACTGAAGTAGTTACATCATATTGACAGTGTTATATTTAGTATATGTAAATGCAGGGGTAAAGGGTGTATATATATATAATTATATATATATATCTAATATTCATATCTATAATACGTAGTCATTATGTAGGTGTATATACATGTTAAAATAATCTTGATTGGTGATGTGGACTGACATTCCCATTGTTTGATGCTACTGCATAGGCCGTCCAGACCGTTGAGCAGCGAACTGCGCAAGGCGAAAGCTTTGAGGGGTCGACCTCTGTTGATTCTAGGGCACATACGATGTGTATACAGACACACACACACAGATATTCTATAACATTATGTAGCAAACACATCTAAATATACTGTATACACTGTATACAATGTATATACTGTATACACTGTATATACTGTATATACTGTATATACTGTATATAATTGTATTTATCTATCTATCTATCTATCTAACTATCTATCTATCGATCTATCTATCTATCTATCAATCTATCTATCTATCTATCTATCTATCTCTCTCTCTCTCTCTGTTTGTCTGTGTCTGTTTGTCTGTCTATCCATCCATCCATCCATCCATCCATCCATCCATCCTACATCCATCCATCCATCCATACATCCATCCATCCATACATACATACATGCGTACGTACGTACGTACGTATGTAGATACATACATAGATTCATACAAAGATACAAAGATACATAGATGCATAGATACATAGATACATAGATACGTGGATACATAGATGCATAGATAGATAGTTAGATAGTTAGATAGTTAGATAGTTAGATAGTTAGATAGTTAGATAGATAGATAGATAGATAGAAAGAGCGGGTGAGACCCCATGATTCAACTATGGCCAGGTGTGGCTCTGGGCCTCAGCGCTGGACTGCTGACTGCGGAGCCTGCCTTTGCGGGTGGAGCAGGGGACACCCAAGGGAAATGTGGCAAGGGTGGGGCAGGAAAACCTTGTGAGATTGGAGCTTGATACGTATTTATATATATATATATTATATATATTATATATATATTATATATATTATATATATATATTATATAGACTATTTGGATATTTCATTTTCTTTTGGAAAACGAATTCTCCGCATGTTGATGTGGGAATGATGTGTTTTTCATCATGATGCTGGCTGCAAGAGTTGAACTCCCTGGAGGGTCGATATATAAAAATGATGAAGTCATGATGCATCTCCAGTAGTCACTCAGTAGTCGATTTTTCATCATGGAACTCTCAGGAACTCTCTCTTTGGGCAGTTGCCCATAAAGTTGCCAGATCCACCTTGAAACGACATATTTTCCAAGCGGATGATGGGAATGTTGACAGGAAACCTAAATGTTAATTTGGCTGTTTTTAACCGATGGTTTCCTGAGGATTTTCCCTTCAATATTGGTTGCTTTCCCATCATAATGCGGATAGTCCCTAGATAATCCCCAGATAATTTTTCCAGATAATTTTTCCAGATAATCACCATGTAATCACCATTAAAAATCACCATAACTCCATTATAATCACCATAAAACTACAAGATTCCTCGATTTTTCAGCGTTGCTGTTGTTGTGTCAGAACTAGGTCTTCTGGGACGAGATCCTGCCGTACTCCCTGAGCATCAGCTTTGCGATCATTTGGGTGCCAGGGATATTTGCATGAATAGATGTAAGTGCAATTTAGTATACATATATATATATACGTATATATATATATATATACATCATATATATATATATGCAAATCTATCATATGTAGCAAATCCCAAATAGATAGAGAACAGTAATTCATCCAACGAATCTCTCTCTCTCTCTCTCTTTTTGGGTTAATATATATATATATACACATACATATATCACATGATGGACTTGGAGTGTGGCTCTTGGGATCGTAACCACATGCCCAGACATTTTGTCACTTTCTGCTAGGACAGTCTGGCATCCCCAACATCCGAAGCATCAAATCATAGTGTCATAGTGGCTTTGTCTAAAAATGGAGCATGCTCTGTTATGGATCATCCCATGGATCATCCCATGGATCATCCCATGGATCATCCCATGGATCATCCCATGGATCATCCCATGGATCATCCCATGGATCATCCCATGGATCATCCCATGGATCATCCCATGGATCATCCATCATTTTCCAATGGCTCCGCTGGTGCCAGGGCATCATCCTAGGCTTCGTGCTGCTGCGATTGCAGGAGGCCTTCCCGGAATGAGCTGCTTGAGCGAACATCGCTTGGGATGCTGGTTGGGATGGGATGCTGGTCATGTTGGTTACTGATGGTTACTGCCGATGGATTTTGGGGGAGGTTTGGATGTAGCGAAATTCATGAAGTGACTACAAGCAACTCATGAATTCATGGTGATTTCCAAGTGATGCAGCCCCCCCTATGCCACTGGACACTCCACCGAGGCTCCTTTGACGGCGATCACGAAGGCTCCGCAACGCGATAGGATTGGTCCAGCATTTTTCCGGCGATATGGGCTGCCACCTGTGGGATATCAAAGGGGACCTGTGGCTGAGTGCCACTGAGGGCCGGCAGATTTTTGCAGATGTCACAAAGACCGAGTCAAAAAGAGTGGTTCGCATATCTGGAAAGCACTTCAAGGGTAAGAGGGTAAGGACCTGTTGTTGGCAAATACCATTGAAGCACTGGCTTATTTCATCTTATTCGGCTTGTGACAAGGTCTGAGTGCTTTGCTTTGCGACCACATGTCTTCATACAATAGGACTTCCGTTCAGCCGCGAGTCCCGAGCGAAATAGACGTGCGCTGCCTGGAACTTGCATCTTGCACCCACTTCCATAGCGTAGGAAGGGGATGGCATTAAATGATACAGCTTGGTGCAGGAAGTACCAGACGCCTTTGTCTTGGGTTATGCCTCTGCATCTCTTGTTTTTCTTCAAGGAAGTGAAGAGAGGCAATGGTTGTGGTGAAGATGAGGGTGTGTAGACTATCTATGACGGGGCCGTTGGAACTCCAGCACGATAATAGTGTCCACATCATGTAGAAGTCAAAGTCGTATGGGTCTTGAAGGGCAAAGGAGAGAGACGAGGAGACATCACTCCATAGTCATTTCATTACTTGAAACTGTTTTTTGACAGCTTCCCTGTTGTAGAATTCAGCTGGCTCCAGCCGAATCTAAAGATGCTCTAGCCCTGCACAAGGAACCAAATCAAAACTAGAGTCATTCGAGTTGGGCCATGCTTGGCCATATTTTCAGATATGGCCGATATCGCATCCATCATGGAAAAAGGCGTGCAATGGCCTGCCTATGGGGCGGAACCAGGCAGTGGATGACAGTGGGGTGCGGGAATTCAGTTCAGGCACTTGAGATAGTCTGAATCAATATGAATCAATCAACAAAGCCAAAATTTAGGTCTCATTGCAATGTTTCACATTGCTGTCTTGATCGTTGGGACAAGTCCAGACGAAGTCTTATTCAAAATGATGCGAGATACGTGATGCTCCATCACTGTCTCAGGGCAGTACTCTTGCAATGCAAGATTCCACGTGTTCTTCATTGGATTGGAAATTGACACATTTATCAATAACATTTGCCAGTCTTTCCATTTACTGTAACACCTTTAAGGAACTTTAAGGTCTTCGCCTAAAGTTCTTGAATCTTGTTGTGCACTTTGCACAGGAGTTCTGGATCAGCACTTGCATCGCCACAAGCTGGAGCAAGATCCGATCTCCTTCAACACTGTGACTGTTACTTGGTTGCATCCAATATAGGTTGCACGGTCGCACCGGGTAGCCTATAGCAACAAAACAGTGATCGACGATGATAGACGTATTTCCCATTGAAAACGGCATTTTCTCGGCTTGTCATGTTTGATTGTAGGAGGGTAGTGAGCACACCACCAAGGACCTGGAGTTGGAGGTTGGACGATGGCGCCAGGCGAGCTCAGAAAGCTTCAAAAGGGGTGGCGGGGTGTTGACAGTCAGTTCTATGTCATTGTTTCCTGGTTAGCGGTTTCGAGCATGCTGATGTTCAAACATTTTGAGCAGCATTGGCCCCACACGCCACATGAAGCCAACCTGGTCATCGAAAGACTTCATGACCTGGCCCGTGCACTGCTGTTTGGAGCCAGGAAGGATGATGCAATCGTCGCATCTTTCCTGGAGAAGAGGGGCTTAAGCATCCTGGTAGAAGCACTGCTAGCAGTCTCAACTCCGGAGATGATACGGACACAGGCGTGGCAGTCCCTGAGCGTAATCCTGCTCAACGTGAAGGACAGCTTTGTGAGACACACGGGCACACATTCACACACATGAACAAAATGCAGATCAAATGCCTATTAACATGCAAAGTTGCCCATTGCTTCTCCCATCATGATGGCAAAGTCGTTCATGGTTGGAGCTTGGCGCCAAACTGACATGACCAATTCACATGCCTACATCTACTACATGTTCGATGTTGCTCTAGAATCCCTGGAGTGACAGAGACCGCAGGAGGATGCTTTACAAAGGTTGATCCGTGGGCGCGAGTTGGACTTGTTGTGGTCTGGTGAGCCGGATCTTCGCACAGAGGAGCTGGGAAGTTGTGCAAGTTGCGTCCCTTGCGGCGTGAAGCAAGTTTTGTCACAATGGCTCAATCCATCTGACCCACAGCAGAGATTGCAAGGAAAGTCTTCTCTCATCTTCTCTCTATATATACAGTATATTGGCAAACTAAATTTTCTCTTTTTGATTCATCTGTATTTCAGCGTCAGGAGAGTCGGATGAACTTCATCTCTTGTCTCAAGAGTGTCAGCATGCGAATAGAAGTGGGGACGCTCCCATGGCTGATGACCGAGGACAGGGACATCCCGATCCTCCGCATGGCGATGGTCTATACCGCCCATGAGGAGCCCCTGCTCCGCACCCAGGCCCGAAATGCCATGCTGACACTTTTTTCGAAGATCAAGATAGGCGAGGGCCAGCTGTTGCGGACTGCCTTGGAAATGGCAAAGTCCAGGAAGCTCGGTTGAGTTATTGGCAAGTCGTGACATTGGACATGACATGTCATGCCTCTGTATTGGGCTAGGTGATTAGGAAAGGCGTCATGCTGGAGGATTTATGCGTTGTCACGATTGTCACGCTGCAGAATCTTTTTGGGGTGGTTGTCAGTGATGAGTGATGATGGCAAGTGGCATGTGGCAAGTGGCATGTGGCAAGTGGCAAGTGGCATGTGGCAAGTGGCATGTTTTTTTTAACCTAGCTACAGTTCCCCTCTCTTGAAGACCTGAAGACCTGTTGTTTTTTAGCGGTGGATTTACACAAGATTGTTTAAATCAATTCTGAAAACCATTCAGTGACTCTGATTTACCAGGTTCCTAGGTGCAGATCAATGGTGTGGTCTGAAATGCCGCCTTAGCAGGAGAACGGGGGCAGCTGGCTGGTGGTGTCTTACGTGCCGGCAGTTGGTGAGAAGTCATATGAAATCATCCTCATCTTGGAAATCTCGCGGTTGTTTGATTGATTTTGACAGCTTGAAGGGGATCCAGACAGGTCTCAAACAGAGGAATCTGTCAGCGAGTCCTTTTCCAAGGTTATTTGCCGCAACCCCAACCAGGGTGTATAGCTGAACTGGTAGATATCCATACTTCAGGCCTTCCAGATTGATAGTTGGCAATGGCCCAGGAAGGGTGGATCAAGAAAATCATGTCATCCAACTCCAAATTCTAATTTTTTCGACGCTTCGGAGCTAGGTTTTTTGTCAGGCTGAAACCCAAGTGCTCATTTGCAGCTTGAGCTCAAGCTGGTTTCAAGCAAACCGCATTGCGACAGAACACCTGTCTCTTTCCGTGGTCATGTTTGAACCCATGTTCGAGACAATAAGCGGCTGGTTCTCATACGTTGCTGAGTCTGTGCCGTCAATGCAAGAGCCAAAGGAGCACTTGCAGAAAGACATATTTACGAAAGAGGAGATGGAGGGACTGCTGTCCTTCCTGAAGCTTCCGTTGTCCTATGGACACGAAGCGTTTAAGCAGCATTGGCCCCACACGCCACATGAAGCCAACCTGGTCGTCGAAAGACTTCATGACCTGGCACGTGCACTGCTGTTTGGAGCCAGGAAGGATGATGCAATCGTCGCATCTTTCCTGGAGAAGAAGGGCCTAAGCATCCTGGTAGAAGCACTTCTAGCAGTCTCAACTCCGGAGATGATACGGACACAGGCGTGGCAGTCCCTGAGCGTAATCCTGCTCAACGTGAAGGACAGCTTTGTGAGACACACGGGCACGCATTCACACACATGAACAAAATGCAGATCAAATGCCTATTAACATGCAAAGTTGCCCATTGCTTCTCCCATCATGATGGCAAAGTCGTTCATGGTTGGAGCTTGGCGCCAAACCGACATGACCAATTCACATGCCTACATCTACTACATGTTCGATGTTGCTCTAGAATCCCTGGAGTGACAGAGACCGCAGGAGGATGCTTTACAAAGGTTGATCCGTGGGCGCGAGTTGGACTTGTTGTGGTCTGGTGAGCCGGATCTTCGCACAGAGGAGCTGGGAAGTTGTGCAAGTTGCATCCCTTGCGGCGTGAAGCAAGTTTTGTCACAATGGCTCAATCCATCTGACCCACAGCAGAGATTGCAAGGAAAGTCTTCTCTCATCTTCTCTCTATATATACAGTATATTGGCAAACTAAATTTTCTCTTTTTGATTCATCTGTATTTCAGCGTCAGGAGAGTCGGATGAACTTCATCTCTTGTCTCAAGAGTGTCAGCATGCGAATAGAAGTGGGGACGCTCCCATGGCTGATGACCGAAGACAGGGACATCCCGATCCTCCGCATGGCGATGGTCTATACCGCCCATGAGGAGCCCCTGCTCCGCACCCAGGCCCGAAATGCCATGCTGACACTTTTTTCGAAGATCAAGATAGGCGAGGGCCAGCTGTTGCGGACTGCCTTGGAAATGGCAAAGTCCAGGAAGCTCGGTTGAGTTATTGGCAAGTCATGACATTGTACATGACATGTCATGCCTCTGTATTGGACTAGGTGATTAGGAAGGCGTCATGCTGGAGGATTTATGCGTTGTCACGATTGTCACACTTGAGTTTCTGGTCCATTTGTTTCTTGACAGGAGATGGCACATTGCTCCCTCTGACGTTTCATACTTCACTTGTTGAAACATCCATGATGTCATGGAGCACATTCAGTTGCATTTTAGATTTTCCAGGTTGCCGACCCCTTTGTGCACTTTACTGTGGCAGAATTGGGCAAACATGGCACAAGCAGCCAAAAACAGGAATGCGCCGGCTTTGCAAAAATGGGCATTTCGTGAAGAGGACTGTATTCCTGATACCCCACAAAGGAGTGAGAGATGGGGGGCGATATGGGACAACGACCTTCTGAAAAGCGAAGAGCAAGGCCTTTGCAAGAGCAGGTTGCGCTGTTTTGTATCCCCAAATCTATGTGTACCAAAATGGTGTAAACAGATGTAATTAGTTGGCCTAGACTTTTGTGAAGCAGACCATCAATGCGATCAATCCAACAGTGGCCTACTCCCCGCCAAGGGTGTCGGGTGTCCATGGTCCGGATAGCTCGGATAGCTGCAGGACCTTTGGGACCATTTGGCCGAACTGATCAAGCTTGACATCACAGACATCACACAGATGGTCTGTGGTGTTATTGTTGGAAGTCTGGTCTGGAAATTAGGCTCCTTGACTCCCACAAAGGCTGTGGGAGCGAACCACTGGAACGCTCCCTTTGTGAAGCTTTTCAAAAGATTCAGCAAAAGTTCTCTGGGACGGTATTCTTGGGGAAGATTGGGAAATGAATATGATTACACACACAAAAAAAATAAATAGATATGTACGCACATACATCAGCGATATGCAATTAATTTCGAGCTACACGTCTGCAGCAGCATTCCGTCAGCCAGATGGAAAATTAAGTAGCAAAGTAATGCAAAGTAAAGAAAATGAATTGAACAGTAGAAACTGTATCCGATATCCCAATCAGGCTGGTAAGCAAGACCACAGAAACCAGTCATTGGAGAGGGGACTCTTTCAGTTTGGAGAATGCTGCGCCGGGATGTTGCTTCAATAAATGTTTCTTTATAACTGTAGACTTTGAGTCCACAGAGCCTGTGACTACAAAAGAGTGACCTGTTGTCACCCCAAGAATAGTAATCAATGGATGTTTCCTTTTTTCTTCATAGGATGTTTCTTTGTGGATGTGGACTCAGTGTCCCTGATATGATGTTTCTGCAAGGAAAAAAGATCCAGGACAGGAGATTGACTGCAATTCCATTAAGTCAAGGATATTGATTCCAAAGAGTTTGGGACTCCTGAAACTGGGACGAAGAGCCCTGGGAGCTCATGACTCCTGAGCAAAGCCTTGACAGCACCTGAAAAGGCTCAGTGAAGAAATCAATTGCATCGAAATGGAGGAAGTGTGGGCCCCAGGAAATGCTGCTAATATACGCCTAGCACGGGGCCCGATGGAATTGACCTACCGAAAAAAAGGAGAAAACGACAAACCAAAGGAGAAAAAATAAGAGTCAGGCCCCTTATCTCCCGCTTTGGAGCACTGTGGCAGACAAAGGAGAAGCGTAACTCGCAGGAGTGACCGTGGTCTCCCGGCGGCCCCTGGTAGCTTCAGCTGCCAGGAAAGGGAATAATGTCACTTGGTAAAAATGTACATGCACTTAAGTCCAGCAAAACGAGACATGTACATTCCAGCTGAAAAAGGGTAAAGCGAAGTTGAAAACGATGTGCAAGACTTCCCCCATAGTCTCGAAAGTGGAGTTAATAGTGAAAGATCGCGAAAATTGTACATGTATACAACTTGGCTGGAATGGAAATGGAGTGATGTCACTAAGAAAAATGTCCGGGACCCTTCAGTTCAAGACATGCACATTCCACCTGCAAATAGGAAAAAACGAGTTGGAGACGATGTGCAAGACTTCCCCCATAGTCTCGAAAGTGGAGTTAATAGTGAAAGATCGCGAAAATTGTACATGTATACAACTTGGCTGGAATGGAAATGGAGTGATGTCACTAAGAAAAATGTCCGGGACCCTTCAGTTCAAGACATGCACATTCCACCTGCAAATAGGAAAAAACGAGTTGGAGACGATGTGCAAGACTTCCCCCATAGTCTCAAAACTGGAGTTGATAGTGAAGGATCCAGAAAATTGTAAATCGAGACGATGGCGAAGTAGTAGAACTTGGCTGGAATATCAAAACAGGAGAAAATACAAGGTGACCAAAGCGCTCCGCAAGGTCGCAGTGTAGAACTTCAATGAATGTATCCCTATACTTCTGAACATAGAGCCCCCAGAGACATGTACTTGGAAGATGCTGGAAGGAGAAATGTATATACTTGTACTGGAGATCGATACGTCCATGGCCGGCATGCCAAAGGAAAAGGTGTATCCTCAGTGGATGTATCCTTAAAAATCCAGGGGGGCCGACGGTGAGGGAAAATGGAGGCTAGCTAAAGCTTGTGCACGTACCCAAGAAAAAAATATATATATATATATGTATATATATATATATATGTGTGTCTCTATAATATATATATATATATATTGACATAGATAAATATTATATAGACAAATAATCAAATATGCAAATTAACATATCAAAATATGAATATAGATTTAAATACAAATGTATCGCTAGGGTGGTGAATCCACGGAATTCCATTCGGGACTGCAATCTGCTGTCTTCTTTGGGTGTGTGTTTTTTGAAGACGGTGCCAAAAATTTCCTTTTGAAACATGTTTCAAAGATGTCCTCCGTAATTTTCAGTGTTTCGAGCTGTTAACGAAAACTCAACCACCCGCAGTTTTTTTAAACAACACCAAAATAACCTAACCCCAAATAAACCCTAAATGAACCAACCCCAAGTCAACCATAAATACCCCAATAGCCCTGACCTTAACGGAACTTTGAATAAAACCCTAAAACAGCCCAAAATAGCACAAAAATAAACTAAACACCCTAAAAAAAAAAACGAATGAAAATCCAGTAAACCAACCCTATATAAACCCTAAAACATTTTTTTTTTAAATCTTAAACAAACCACAACGTAAGTAAATCCCCATGAAACTTTGGGCGAACGTCCGCCCAGGAGGGATACGGATACATATACATACACATCATAGACATACAGATACATATTGTATTGTGTTTTGAGTATACATATTGTACGTGATTTCCGGTGCTGTTGGTGCATAAGTGCAGGGTCACTTGAAATTCACGCAAAACCAATCCAGGAACATGGACGAGTTGGACTCAGAGCCGATGATGGCTGTTCCAAGTCCAGGGGCCTTCAATTTGTCGCCCAAGTCCCACACAGAATCAACGGCCTCGCTGTCGGATCAGTCTTCACTGGAAGAATGTCCAAGTTTTACAGCCTGTGGGCTTGGAACCGCCATGAAGGTTGCCGAGACATTTGCCAAAGATATGGCATCCAGTGACCATTCCGCCGCCATGGCTCTGAGAACTTTGGCAATGTACACGGGAACTCTTCGTCACGCGGGCATTGGCTGCGCAGTCATGCCTTTGGTGGAGTCTTTGGGATTTATCAATGAGTTTGAAGTGTATTGCTTTGCTGGTCTGGAAACACTTAAGCCGTATGGTCTGTTTCCCCCTTTGTTGAGTAGCGTTTGATGTTGGCTGCTTGTTGAGTAGCGTCTGATGTTGGCTGTAATTTCTCACCCTACAGGCTTATTTGCAGAACAGGGTACCAAGAATATGTCACGAACCCACACATGCATGCCACACTGTTCAAATCATTGACAGTTTTCTGGTTTCCTTCCATCCAGAAGAGCTTAGGCTAATGCTTTTGCCTTCACTACCTTCTGGCTCGATCCGTGCCATGGCAGACCTCGATGCGGGCTGCATCACTGAGGCAGGTTCGGAAAGACTTCACAACATGCACGGGAGGTGTCACTACTCAATATGTGTGATAATTACTCAGAAATGCCTAGCGGTTCTGAAGCGAACATAGGTAGAAATGCAGGGTTGAACTTGTTTGCCTGACAATGAAGACGTCTTTGATGCACACGTTGGTTTGCAGGTAAGCGGTGAGCAGCCTTTCCAGAACCTTTTTTACATGTCATTGCTACATCTTCACACAAGACTTGATGCAATCGTCTCTTGCAAAAACCATGCAACTAATTACACATGCATTCTGCATCAGCAGCTGGAGTGCAAACGGATTCAAACTAGTTTGTACCCCCCACTCTTCACCATTATAGTTGTACTGATATATATATATGTTTTCCTGTGTTCCCTTGCCCTTGCCGGGTGGTTCCAAGTGGATCCATATGGATACCCACCTGCAACCCCCACAGTATCTGTAGCAGGACTTGCTCGCACTGACCGAGCACTTTGTTGCTGGGGCCATGGAGGATTCCAAATTCGTGGCCAAGGACCATGAAGATGGCAAGCCGCCAGAGCGCGAAGAGGTGGAAGCCATGCAGAAAAACCGCGTGGAGTACCTCTTTTTTACAAGTCAGTCTCGCTTCCTGCAAATACACTCACTTGGCACATGTAGCATCACTTTATGACTTGACGTCATGTTCACATCCTTTTCGATACGTGTTTTGCATACCAGTATCGATCGCTGTCATTGATTCAGATTGAAGAGTCTCTTAATCGCGCCTGTAGACCGCATTTCAAAATTATGTGAGTTGCTTGCCCAAGGCACTGGCAAGGGATGCTGCATGGTGCACATTCGATGGTGTCAGGGCAAGACACGGTGCCCAATCCTTTTCGGGCCGCAATTCTGGCAAAGATGGGCTTTACCGGTGACGGTATTCCGGTGGCGCAGCTCCCTCTTCGCCACCTAGCAAAATTAAGATTACAAGTTTTTCCCCAGCTTGGTACGTGACGTGTTTGTTACTTGCAGTGTTTCGTTGTGCTGCTGAGAGTAGTCAGGCGCGAACTGCAACACGTTTTCTTTCCAGTCTCTGCTGGATGAGAACACAGCTGCCACCCTTGCGATCATGGAGTTGGAGCGGGCGTATCATGGATCAAAACTGCAAAGGGATTCTGCCAGTTGTACATATTGAAGTATACATATTGAAGTATATTGGGTTAAAATTATTTAAACTACCTCTATAAGTATGCTGAAGTACCCGAAAAATAGGGTCAAACCATACTCCAGCTATCAGACATACGGACCTGTAGTTGCAGTGCTCAGTTTTACCTTAAGACCTGGATGGTTGATGAACTGGTTGCCGTGTGGGATTCCTGAAACCCTTCTTCACGACGTGTGGTGTCCTAAATCCCAGCACTGAAAACCAGCAATCCCCAACCACCAAGCAACCGACCTTGATAAGATCTTATATCAGGTGTAGCTGTTTGCGTGTGTGTCTCACCAGAATTTAGGGGTGATTGCACTGCCTTGCCTTGCTTACGGTTGTTATCGTTGTTGACGGTCACGCAGCTCTCTACTGTGATACAAGCTTAGATCAGTAGGCAGTCTGTGAAATCGAGAAATCTTGCTATGAAGATCTATGAAGTATTTGCTTGCAAAAGATGTTGGGCTTGCCTGTGGTTCATTTGTTTTTCACGCAACCATTTCGACTTGTTTTCCAAGGGCTCTCAGTGGGCAAACCTCCAATGAACCGCCCAGGTATCCAGACTTGCTGGAGCACACAAGGCTCCTGGCACCCTCCGCACAAGTGGACCCCATAATCGAAGAAGCCACAGAGTTTGCCGCCGAGACAGTGCCTGGCACTTTCGCCGAAGCGTTCGCCTGGTTTCTGAAGGCCATCAGTTGATCGCTTTGGTTCGGAGTTGGTCAGTTGATGTCAGTTGACTTTGAATTTCCGACGTTTCCCACTGGTGTCTTTCGAGGTGGGAGGCAATGGCTGCAGCTTCGTGTCATTGTGAGCGAAGATGCTTCATGTGAGTCCCAAAGTCGGACGAACGCAGAACTTGTGGTGATACATCTTAGATTTGGCAGCTGAGCGCGACCTGAACGAAATCTTTGACGCAGCAATTCAATTCTGAACATGTCTGAACATCACAAGATGTTGAAGAAATCAGCTGGCTCCAGCCGAATCTACAGATGCACAATGAACCAAATCAAAACCAGAGTCACTTGAGTTGGGCCATGCTTGGCCATACTTCCAGATATCGCTGATATCGCAGCCATCATGGAAAAAGATGTGCCATGGCGTGCCAATGGGGCGGAACCAGGCAGTGGATGACAGCGGGGTGCGGGAATTCAGTTCAGGCACTTGAGATAGCCTGAATGAATCAACGAAGCCAGAATTTAGGTCTTTTGGCAATGTTTTCACTGTGCTGTCTTGATCGTTGCAATAGTCTCGATGAATTCTGTTCAACATGAGTGATCGAAGGCAAGGGATGTTTCATCACTGTCTCGGAGCTCTAAAGTTGAAATTTCAATTCACGAAATTCCAGTTGTTGTCACTGGAAACTGAAACAATCAACGACGATCCAGTCTTTCCATTCAACTCCTTCAAGGCCAAGGTTCCTGAATGTTGTTGCGCGCTTTGTACAGGAGTTCTGGATCCCATGCACATCGCTACAAGCGCAAGACCAGATCTCCTTCACTGTGTTGCTTGGCGGCTTCATCCACAGATTGCGTCGCACCAGGTATATGGTAACACCCGACAAAATAAAATTCAGAGCTCCCTGGGCTGCTTGTGTCGAGATTCAGGCCATGCCTGCGCCATGTCGGCATGTCGGGAGTCGCCAGGCTGGGAGTTGGCAGATTCGATCATGTTTCCTATCTGTTTTTTTGGAACTGCATGTTCTTTCCGGATTTTTCCGGAGCCCCAAGAACTGACACACGTTTTGATTTGCACATAGTTCAACCGCCCAAAAATGCCTCTGCAATTGTGTCACAGATTGAGCACATTTGATCACATTTGTACGTCAATGTTTGCCTGCAAGCTGTTTCCAACATAGGAGTTGTCTATTTTTAGGCCATCCATGAGTAACTCCATGACCATGTCGCAATTTGCGGTGCTCGCCCTGTGCTTCCTCTGGGGCGTCCGGGGCCTCCGCACGGACAACCCCCCAATGCAGCTGGGGAAGACGGCCGTGAAGACCGTTGGGCAGCTGGCGCGCACGCAGGTGAAGGGACAAGGCTTCAAAGGCTTTAAGGGCTTCAAGGGCACTGGGTTCCAATTCAAACCACAGACTTTGAATGGATTTGCACACGCCCCGAGCTATGCCTTCAATGGATTCAGAAGCCAAACCGGTCAGCTGGGTCGCGGCTTCGGAACTTTCGGAGGGCAAATGGGGCGGATGCCGATGGGTACGATGCAAAACACGATGGCCAGACGTTTCGCCTCAACCGGTGCCCAAGTCAGTAAGGGTGTGGAGCTTCTCACCTTCCAAAACTGGCCGCCTGGCCTCAAAGCTCGGAGTCTAGATGCGTTTCATTGTACCTTTTTTTACATTTTTGTGGTCAAGTCACCCTCAAAGAATCTCGTCTTGGTTTTGATCTATTTTTTTCCACTTAAACAGTTTATTGTAGAGGTTCTCAGTTCTTTATAAGAGGTGTCCGCCCTTGTGTTACTGGCCGTGCCCGGCTTCCTGGGTTTCTCTCTTTATTTGTCTCGCTTTCTTTGTCTCCCTTCATTTGTAGCCAGAAGGCACCCTCGACACGAAACCTTCTGTTCCTCAAACTGTTTGGGGCCTACGGGGATGTATTTTGGGGCTTTGTTTTTGGCCGTTTGATTTTCCACCAAGCCTCAAGCCTTTGTCCGGTTTCGAATTCGCACTGCTTCTCTTTGATTTTTGATCTTTTCGACCACGGATAGGATTGTGTCTGCGGTGGAGGTGGCCGCGGGAAAGAGCACAAGGCAACAGATGGGTCAGGCCATCCGTGAGGCCTTCTGGCAATGTTCCGATTCCCCAACAACGATGTCCATGTTCTCATTTCTCGTGGTGAAATGGCGTTTGCCAACGCTGCCACTGAAGGGGGAGTGGCCAGGTTCAAAATCAGACATGGAGGGCAGGATCTTTTTATAACGCTTTTCAAGAGAAACGCCAAAGCGATCAATGGTGGACAAGCGCTCAACTATGGGCATGGCACCAGGAGCGACTTGGACATCCTAAGATCCTTTGGGAAAGGCTTGTATGACCTGCAGAACATCTTTCAGCCGCAGAGTCTGGAATGGATCTTCAAGCAGACACAAGAAGTCTTTTCCAAGGGTTTGTCCCCTGACAAGATGGCCCAGCGTTTAGAATCCTTGATGCACCAGACGTATGGAGGTGGTTGGAATGTCATCGTGTCACCAAACAAGATCACGGCGGTGGTGCATGAGCACGATGTGAAGGCCGCTTTCAAGGCCATGGGAAAGTTACTAAGTTTTTGGATCTTTTGGACTGGAAGTGATAACCCAGGGCCCCGTCTGGATATCTTTTGGGGTATCAGGTTGCTCAAAGCGAAACACCGCACTCTTGAAAACAAACACATGTATTTGTAGCCAGGGATCAACTGTTCAGCCCAGAAAATTGCATTTTCTCCAGGTGGCTGATCATTTCGTGACCTTCCTACGACGACAGGTCTCACGCTAAGGAACGTCACTTCAGTTGGTGAATGACTGAGAGTATGCGCACGACAGTGCAGAGAAAAATGCAGCAGCTGCAACTGCTTGAACAAATACAAAACACATTTTCCAATTTTTTGAAATCTGTATGTTGATCAGGGGTTCCAAACTTTTGCTTGAAATCCGTTTGCTTCATCCCTCATGCATAGTTTCTCTAGGGGCTCTAGGGGCGGCCAACGTTTGATTTGGTAACCTGGCACGGATATGAGTTTGAGTTAGTTTGAATTCAACTTGTGAGTCCACTGTCAAGACTTGGCGCAGGTTGAGCGTCCTGACATTGCTGCCTCCACCGAACCGAGAGGAAAAGATGGGCGGAGCACAAGGGTGTAACGACAGAAAGCTGCAAGGATGTGTGTCCAAAAACGGCGAGCAGTTTGTGGTGTTCAGGTGTCTATGCCATGATTGACAACCTGTGATGTGTAGCCGTTCAGATGCTGGCAGCCACTCCACTAGCCAAGCGGCAAATGGTGTGCTGGTTAGGATTCTTCAATATTGATCAATATTGTATAATATTGTTAGATATACATCAGTTCAGTTTCAACCTAGACCTAGCGGAAAAGGCTTTAGAGATACTCAGAATTTTGACCAGCCTTTCACGAACCGAAATAGCTCCTAATATCAAATGAAACCAAATTTGAAGCACAACATCCCTGGATTTTTCGTGCGCATGCAGTTACTGCATTTGGAATATATGTATGTATGTAATGTAATGTAATGTAATGTAATGTGCTGTGCTGTACTGTACTGTAATGTAATGTAATGTAATGTAATGTATGTAATGTAATGTAATGTAATGTAATGTAATGCAATGTATGTATGTAATGTGTGTATGTAATGTATGTATGTAATGTATGTAATGTATGTAATGTATGCAATGTAATGTAATGCAATGTAATGCAATGTAATGTAATGTAATGTAATGATAATGATAATGACAATGACAATGATAATGATAATGATAATGATAATGACAATGACAATGATAATGTAATGTAATGATAATGTAATGTAATGTAATGTAATGTAATGTAATGTAATGTAATGTAATGTATGTATGCATGTATGTATGCATGTATGTATGCATGCATGCATGCATGCATGCAGATATGTACATATATATATATACATACATATATACATTTATATTTACATACAAACAGAGACACACAATTGGATACATATGGATTAAACACAGATGGCCACAGCGGGAATTCAGTTCAGGCACTTGAGATAGCCTGAATGAATCAACGAAACCAGAATTTAGGTCTTTTGGCAATGTTTTCACTGTGCTGTCTTGATCGTTGCAATAGTCTCGATGAATTCTGTTCAACATGAGTGATGGAAGGCAAGGGATGTTTCATCACTGTCTCGGAGCTCTAAAGTTGAAATTTCAATTCACGAAATTCCAGTTGTTGTCACTGGAAACTGAAACAATCAACGACGATCCAGTCTTTCCATTCAACTCCTTCAAGGCCAAGGTTCCTGAATGTTGTTGCGCGCTTTGTACAGGAGTTCTGGATCCCATGCACATCGCTACAAGCGCAAGACCAGATCTCCTTCACTGTGTTGCTTGGCGGCTTCACAGATTGCGTCGCACCAGGTATATGGTAACACCCGACAAAATAAAATTCAGAGCTCCCTGGGCTGCCTGTGTCGAGATTCAGGCCATGCCTGTGCCATGTCGGCATGTCGGGAGTCGCCAGGCTGGGAGTTGGCAGATTCGATCATGTTTCCTATCTGTTTTTTTGGAACTGCATGTTCTTTCCGGATTTTTCCGGAGCCCCAAGAACTGACACACGTTTTGATTTGCACATAGTTCAACCGCCCAAAAATGCCTCTGCAATTGTGTCACAGATTGAGCACATTTGATCACATTTGTACGTCAATGTTTGCCTGCAAGCTGTTTCCAACATAGGAGTTGTCTATTTTTAGGCCATCCATGAGTAACTCCATGACCATGTCGCAATTTGCGGTGCTCGCCCTGTGCTTCCTCTGGGGCGTCCGGGGCCTCCGCACGGACAACCCCCCAATGCAGCTGGGGAAGACGGCCGTGAAGACCGTTGGGCAGCTGGCGCGCACGCAGGTGAAGGGACAAGGCTTCAAAGGCTTTAAGGGCTTCAAGGGCACTGGGTTCCAATTCAAACCACAGACTTTGAATGGATTTGCACACGCCCCGAGCTATGCCTTCAATGGATTCAGAAGCCAAACCGGTCAGCTGGGTCGCGGCTTCGGAACTTTCGGAGGGCAAATGGGGCGGATGCCGATGGGTACGATGCAAAACACGATGGCCAGACGTTTCGCCTCAACCGGTGCCCAAGTCAGTAAGGGTGTGGAGCTTCTCACCTTCCAAAACTGGCCGCCTGGCCTCAAAGCTCGGAGTCTGGATGCGTTTCATTGTACCTTTTTTACATTTTTTTTGTGGTCAAGTCACCCTCAAAGAATCTCGTCTTGGTTTTGATCTATTTTTTTCCACAAACAGTTTATTGTAGAGGTTCTCAGTTCTTTATAAGAGGTGTCCGCCCTTGTGTTACTGGCCGTGTCCGGCTTCCTGGGTTTCTCCCTTTATTTGTCTCGCTTTCTTTGTCTCCCTTCATTTGTAGCCAGAAGGCACCCTCGACACGAAACCTTCTGTTCCTCAAACTGTTTGGAGCCTACGGGGATGTATTTTGGGGCTTTGTTTTTGGCCGTTTGATTTTCCACCAAGCCTCAAGCCTTTGTCCGGTTTCGAATTCGCACTGCTTCTCTTTGATTTTTGATCTTTTCGACCACGGATAGGATTGTGTCTGCGGTGGAGGTGGCCGCGGGAAAGAGCACAAGGCAACAGATGGGTCAGGCCATCCGTGAGGCCTTCTGGCCAATGTTCCGATTCCCCAACAACGATGTCCATGTTCTCATTTCTCGTGGTGAAATGGCGTTTGCCAACGCTGCCACTGAAGGGGGAGTGGCCAGGTTCAAAATCAGACATGGAGGGCAGGATCTTTTTATAACGCTTTTCAAGAGAAACGCCAAAGCGATCAATGGTGGACAAGCGCTCAACTATGGGCATGGCACCAGGAGCGACTTGGACATCCTAAGATCCTTTGGGAAAGGCTTGTATGACCTGCAGAACATCTTTCAGCCGCAGAGTCTGGAATGGATCTTCAAGCAGACACAAGAAGTCTTTTCCAAGGGTTTGTCCCCTGACAAGATGGCCCAGCGTTTAGAATCCTTGATGCACCAGACGTATGGAGGTGGTTGGAATGTCATCGTGTCACCAAACAAGATCACGGCGGTGGTGCATGAGCGCGATGTGAAGGCCGCTTTCAAGGCCATGGGAAAGTTACTAAGTTTTTGGATCTTTTGGACTGGAAGTGATAACCCCAGGGCCCCGTCTGGATATCTTTTGGGGTATCAGGTTGCTCAAAGCCAAACACCGCACTCTTGAAAACAAACACATGTATTTGTAGCCAGGGATCAACTGTTCAGCCCAGAAAATTGCATTTTCTCCAGGTGGCTGATCATTTCGTGACCTTCCTACGACGACAGGTCTCACGCTAAGGAACGTCACTTCAGTTGGTGAATGACTGAGAGTATGCGCACGACAGTGCAGAGAAAAATGCAGCAGCTGCAACTGCTTGAACAAATACAAAACACATTTTCCAATTTTTTGAAATCTGTATGTTGATCAGGGGTTCCAAACTTTTGCTTGAAATCCGTTTGCTTCATCCCTCATGCATAGTTTCTCTAGGGGCTCTAGGGGCGGCCAACGTTTGATTTGGTAACCTGGCACGGATATGAGTTTGAGTTAGTTTGAATTCAACTTGTGAGTCCACTGTCAAGACTTGGCGCAGGTTGAGCGTCCTGACATTGCTGCCTCCACCGAACCGAGAGGAAAAGATGGGCGGAGCACAAGGGTGTAACGACAGAAAGCTGCAAGGATGTGTGTCCAAAAACGGCGAGCAGTTTGTGGTGTTCAGGTGTCTATGCCATGATTGACAACCTGTGATGTGTAGCCGTTCAGATGCTGGCAGCCACTCCACTAGCCAAGCGGCAAATGGTGTGCTGGTTAGGATTCTTCAATATTGATCAATATTGTATAATATTGTTAGATATACATCAGTTCAGTTTCAACCTAGACCTAGCGGAAAAGGCTTTAGAGATACTCAGAATTTTGACCAGCCTTTCACGAACCGAAATAGCTCCTAATATCAAATGAAACCAAATTTGAAGCACAACATCCCTGGATTTTTCGTGCGCATGCAGTTACTGCATTTGGAATATATGTATGTATGTAATGTAATGTAATGTAATGTAATGTGCTGTGCTGTACTGTACTGTAATGTAATGTAATGTAATGTAATGTATGTAATGTAATGTAATGTAATGTAATGTAATGCAATGTATGTATGTAATGTGTGTATGTAATGTATGTATGTAATGTATGTAATGTATGTAATGTATGCAATGTAATGTAATGTAATGTAATGCAATGTAATGCAATGTAATGTAATGTAATGTAATGATAATGATAATGACAATGACAATGATAATGATAATGATAATGATAATGACAATGACAATGATAATGATAATGTAATGTAATGTAATGTAATGTATATAATGTAATGTAATGTAATGTAATGTATGTATGCATGTATGTATGTATGCATGTATGTATGCATGCATGCATGCATGCATGCAGATATGTACATATACATACATATATACATTTATATTTACATACAAACAGAGACACACAATTGGATACATATGGATTAAACACAGATGGCCACAGCGGGAATTCAGTTCAGGCACTTGAGATAGCCTGAATGAATCAACGAAACCAGAATTTAGGTCTTTTGGCAATGTTTTCACTGTGCTGTCTTGATCGTTGCAATAGTCTCGATGAATTCTGTTCAACATGAGTGATGGAAGGCAAGGGATGTTTCATCACTGTCTCGGAGCTCTAAAGTTGAAATTTCAATTCACGAAATTCCAGTTGTTGTCACTGGAAACTGAAACAATCAACGACGATCCAGTCTTTCCATTCAACTCCTTCAAGGCCAAGGTTCCTGAATGTTGTTGCGCGCTTTGTACAGGAGTTCTGGATCCCATGCACATCGCTACAAGCGCAAGACCAGATCTCCTTCACTGTGTTGCTTGGCGGCTTCACAGATTGCGTCGCACCAGGTATATGGTAACACCCGACAAAATAAAATTCAGAGCTCCCTGGGCTGCCTGTGTCGAGATTCAGGCCATGCCTGTGCCATGTCGGCATGTCGGGAGTCGCCAGGCTGGGAGTTGGCAGATTCGATCATGTTTCCTATCTGTTTTTTTGGAACTGCATGTTCTTTCCGGATTTTTCCGGAGCCCCAAGAACTGACACACGTTTTGATTTGCACATAGTTCAACCGCCCAAAAATGCCTCTGCAATTGTGTCACAGATTGAGCACATTTGATCACATTTGTACGTCAATGTTTGCCTGCAAGCTGTTTCCAACATAGGAGTTGTCTATTTTTAGGCCATCCATGAGTAACTCCATGACCATGTCGCAATTTGCGGTGCTCGCCCTGTGCTTCCTCTGGGGCGTCCGGGGCCTCCGCACGGACAACCCCCCAATGCAGCTGGGGAAGACGGCCGTGAAGACCGTTGGGCAGCTGGCGCGCACGCAGGTGAAGGGACAAGGCTTCAAAGGCTTTAAGGGCTTCAAGGGCACTGGGTTCCAATTCAAACCACAGACTTTGAATGGATTTGCACACGCCCCGAGCTATGCCTTCAATGGATTCAGAAGCCAAACCGGTCAGCTGGGTCGCGGCTTCGGAACTTTCGGAGGGCAAATGGGGCGGATGCCGATGGGTACGATGCAAAACACGATGGCCAGACGTTTCGCCTCAACCGGTGCCCAAGTCAGTAAGGGTGTGGAGCTTCTCACCTTCCAAAACTGGCCGCCTGGCCTCAAAGCTCGGAGTCTGGATGCGTTTCATTGTACCTTTTTTACATTTTTTTTGTGGTCAAGTCACCCTCAAAGAATCTCGTCTTGGTTTTGATCTATTTTTTTCCACAAACAGTTTATTGTAGAGGTTCTCAGTTCTTTATAAGAGGTGTCTGCCCTTGTGTTACTGGCCGTGTCCGGCTTCCTGGGTTTCTCTCTTTATTTGTCTCGCTTTCTTTGTCTCCCTTCATTTGTAGCCAGAAGGCACCCTCGACACGAAACCTTCTGTTCCTCAAACTGTTTGGGGCCTACGGGGATGTATTTTGGGGCTTTGTTTTTGGCCGTTTGATTTTCCACCAAGCCTCAAGCCTTTGTCCGGTTTCGAATTCGCACTGCTTCTCTTTGATTTTTGATCTTTTCGACCACGGATAGGATTGTGTCTGCGGTGGAGGTGGCCGCGGGAAAGAGCACAAGGCAACAGATGGGTCAGGCCATCCGTGAGGCCTTCTGGCAAATGTTCCGATTCCCCAACAACGATGTCCATGTTCTCATTTCTAGTGGTGAAATGGCGTTTGCCAACGCTGCCACTGAAGGGGGAGTGGCCAGGTTCAAAATCAGACATGGAGGGCAGGATCTTTTTATAACGCTTTTCAAGAGAAACGCCAAAGCGATCAATGGTGGACAAGCGCTCAACTATGGGCATGGCACCAGGAGCGACTTGGACATCCTAAGATCCTTTGGGAAAGGCTTGTATGACCTGCAGAACATCTTTCAGCCGCAGAGTCTGGAATGGATCTTCAAGCAGACACAAGAAGTCTTTTCCAAGGGTTTGTCCCCTGACAAGATGGCCCAGCGTTTAGAATCCTTGATGCACCAGACGTATGGAGGTGGTTGGAATGTCATCGTGTCACCAAACAAGATCACGGCGGTGGTGCATGAGCACGATGTGAAGGCCGCTTTCAAGGCCATGGGAAAGTTACTAAGTTTTTGGATCTTTTGGACTGGAAGTGATAACCCCAGGGCCCCGTCTGGATATCTTTTGGGGTATCAGGTTGCTCAAAGCGAAACACCGCACTCTTGAAAACAAACACATGTATTTGTAGCCAGGGATCAACTGTTCAGCCCAGAAAATTGCATTTTCTCCAGGTGGCTGATCATTTCGTGACCTTCCTACGACGACAGGTCTCACGCTAAGGAACGTCACTTCAGTTGGTGAATGACTGAGAGTATGCGCACGACAGTGCCGAGAAAAATGCAGCAGCTGCAACTGCTTGAACAAATACAAAACACATTTTCCAATTTTTTGAAATCTGTATGTTGATCAGGGGTTCCAAACTTTTGCTTGAAATCCGTTTGCTTCATCCCTCATGCATAGTTTCTCTAGGGGCTCTAGGGGCGGCCAACGTTTGATTTGGTAACCTGGCACGGATATGAGTTTGAGTTAGTTTGAATTCAACTTGTGAGTCCACTGTCAAGACTTGGCGCAGGTTGAGCGTCCTGACATTGCTGCCTCCACCGAACCGAGAGGAAAAGATGGGCGGAGCACAAGGGTGTAACGACAGAAAGCTGCAAGGATGTGTGTGTCCAAAAACGGCGAGCAGTTTGTGGTGTTCAGGTGTCTATGCCATGATTGACAACCTGTGATGTGTATCCGTTCAGATGCTGGCAGCCACTCCACTAGCCAAGCGGCAAATGGTGTGCTGGTTAGGATTCTTCAATATTGACCAATATTGTATAATATTGTTAGATATACATCAGTTCAGTTTCAACCTAGACCTAGCGGAAAAGGCTTTAGAGATACTCAGAATTTTGACCAGCCTTTCACGAACCGAAATAGCTCCTAATATCAAATGAAACCAAATTTGAAGCACAACATCCCTGGATTTTTCGTGCGCATGCAGTTACTGCATTTGGAATATATGTATGTATGTAATGTAATGTAATGTAATGTAATGTAATGTAATGTGCAGTACTGTACTGTACTGTAATGTAATGTAATGTAATGTAATGCAATGTAATGTAATGTAATGTATGTAATGTATGTATGTATGTATGTATGTAATGTAATGTAATGTTATGTTATGTTATGTTATGTTATGTTATGTTATGTTATGTATGTATGTATGTATGATGTATGTGTGTATGTGTGTATGTGTGTATGTATGTATGTATGTATGTATGTATGTATGTATGTATGTATGTAATGTATGTATGTATGTATGTATGTATGTGTGTATGTATGTATGTATGTATGTCTGTGTGTGTGTATGTATGTATGTATGTATGGTATGGTATGGTATGGTATGGTAATGTAATGTAATGTAATGTAATGTATGTATGTATTTATGTAATGTAATGTAATGTAATGTAATGTAATGTAATGTAATGTAATGTATGTAATGTATGTAATGTATGTAATGTATGTATGTAATGTGTGTATGTAATGTATGTATGTAATGTATGTAATGTATGTAATGTATGCAATGTAATGTAATGTAATGCAATGCAATGTAATGCAATGCAATGTAATGTAATGTAATGATAATGATAATGACAATGATAATGATAATGATAATGATAATTATATGTAATGTAATGTAATGTAATGTTATGTTATGTTATGTTATGTAATGTAATGTAATGTATGTATGCATGTATGTATGTACGCATGTATGTATGCATGCATGCATGCAGATATGTACATATATATATACATACATATATACATTTATATTTACATACAAACAGAGACACACAATTGGATACATATGGATTAAACACAGATGGCCACAGCGGGAATTCAGTTCAGGCACTTGAGATAGCCTGAATGAATCAACGAAGCCAGAATTTAGGTCTTTTGGCAATGTTTTCACTGTGCTGTCTTGATCGTTGCAATAGTCTCGATGAATTCTGTTCAACATGAGTGATGGAAGGCAAGGGATGTTTCATCACTGTCTCGGAGCTCTAAAGTTGAAATTTCAATTCACGAAATTCCAGTTGTTGTCACTGGAAACTGAAACACTCAACGACGATCCAGTCTTTCCATTCAACTCCTTCAAGGCCAAGGTTCCTGAATGTTGTTGCGCGCTTTGTACAGGAGTTCTGGATCCCATGCACATCGCTACAAGCTGGAGCAAGACCAGATCTCCTTCACTGTGACTGTTGCTTGGCGGCTTCACAGATTGCGTCGCACCAGGTAGCCTATGGTAACACCCGACAAAATAAAATTCAGAAGAGCTCCCTGGGCTGCCTGTGTCTCTGCATTAGACATGTTAAGACGAGTTTCCCATTGAAAACGGAATTTTCTCGGCTTGTCATGTTTGATTGTAGGAGGGTAGTGAGCACACCACCAAGGACCTGGAGTTGAAGGTTGGACGATGGCGCCAGGCGAGCTCAGAAAGCTTCAAAAGGGGTGGCAAGGTGTTGACAGTCAGTTCTATGTCATGGTTTTCTGGTTAGCGGTTTCGAGTATGCTGATGTTCAAACATATTTTGAATGATGATCCCCAAGGGGCGAACATTTTTTGGAGATGGGGTGGAACCTCGGGGTGGTTGTTACTTGGCACCATAACCCAAAGCTGCACTGGGATGATCTCCATGCATCCAGGTGCCGCCGCAGAGAGTCCAAGGGCCAACGACAAGGCCTTCAGCTTCTGCAGAATCTTTTTGGGGTGGTTGTCAGTGATGGGTGCTGATGGCAAGTGGCATGTGGCAAGTGAAGCTAGATTGCTTGACCAGGGGCAAACTTCCATTCAGGGTTGACTTCTGAAAATATGCGCCTGGCAGTTTTCTGGGGCACAAGCAAGTTTCTGGAATGGGGTTCCATGAAAGTTCTAGCTACCTATTCCGAGGCCATTCTAGAATTTATTTTTCAACCTAGCTACAGGTCCCCTCTCTTGACCTGAAGACCTGTTGTCTTTTATCGGTGGATTTACAAAAAATTGCTTAAATCACACCACTCAGTGACTCTGATTATTTCCTAGGTGCAGATCAATGGTGTGGTCTGAAATGCCGCCTTAGCAGGAGAACGGGGGGAGCTGGCTGGTGGTGTCTCACGTGCGGGCTGTTTGGTGAGAAGTCATATGAAATCATCCTCATCTCGGAAATCTCGCGGTTGCTTGATTGATTTTGACAGCTTGAAGGAGATCCAGTCAGGTCTGAAGAAGAGGATTTTGTCAGCCAGTTCTTTTCCAAAGTTATTATTTGCCCCAACCAGTCATACATAAAATGCGCTTGTAGCTTGAGCGGTGTATACGGCTGTAAGCATTCCTAGTTCAGGGTTTGCAGATTGATAGTTGGCAATGGCCCTTCATCAAAGCAAAGGGCAGATCAAGAAAATAATGTCATCCCACTCCAAATTCTGATTTTGTTGATACTTCGGAGCTAGCTTTTTTTTCTCAGGCTAAAGCTGCAGCTTGGGCTCAAGCTGGTTTCAAATAAACTGCGTTGCGACAGAACACCTGTCACTTCACGTGGTCATGTTTGAGCCCTACGTCGCTGAGTCTGTGCCGTCATTGCAAGAGCCAAAGGAGCCATTGCAGTCGCAAGAGACATTGACGAAAGAGGACATGGAGGGACAGCAGTCCCTCCATGCCCTCTTTCGTAAATGTGTCTTTCTGCAAGGAACATTGGCCCCACACGCCCCATGAAGCCAACCTGGTGATCCAAAGCCTTCACGACCCCGTGCATTGTTTGGAGCAGAAGCACTGCTAGCAGCGACAACTCCCGAGATCATACGCGCACAGGCGTGGCAGTCGCTGCGCCTAATCCTGCTGAATGTGGAGGACAGCTTTGTGAGACAGTGGCACACATTCACATCATCACATCATTCACACACAATGGCTCAATCCATCTGACCCAGAATAGAGATTGCAAGAACAGTCTTCTCTCTATTGGCAAACGCATTTCTTTATTTTTTTTCTTTTTTTTTCAGGGGCAGTTGAATCGCATGAACTTTGTCTCTTGTCGCAAGAGCGTTTGCCTGCGAATAGACGTGGGGACGCTCCATGGCTATCCATGGCTAATGACAGAAGGCAAGGACATCCCGATCCTCTGCATGGCGATGGCCTATACTACTCGCAACACAAGCTTATTTGCAGAACACGGTACCACGAATATGTCAGCAGCCCACAGATGCATGCCACACTGTTCAAATCATTGACTGTTTGCTGGTTTCCTTCCATCCAGAACAAGTCAGGCTGATCCTTTTGCCTTCAATAAAATCGAAGGCAAAAGGAGTAGCCTGAGTCACCTTCTGGCTCGATTCGTGCCATGGCAGACCTCGATGCGGGCTGCATCAGTGAGGCAGGGTTGGAAACACTTGATCACATGCACAGGAGGTGTCACAACTATATATGTGCGATACTCAGAAATGCCTAGCTCAGAACCCAACACAGGTAGAAAATGCAGGGTTGAACTGAACTACTGAACTTGTTTGCCTGACAATGAAGAGGTCCCTGATGCACGCGTTAGTTTCGAGGTAAGCTACAAGCAGCCTTTCCAGAGCCCTTTTTGCATCTTTTTGTATACATTGTATTGCTACATTTTCACACAAGACTTGATGCAATCGTCTCTTGCAAAAGCCGTGCAGCTACACATTCATTCTGCATCAGCAGGTGGAGTGCGAACTGAATCGAACTAGAGAAGATCCTCGGTTCTTTGTACTCCCACTAATCGCCATTGTACTTATACTGACTATACTGATATGATGTGTGTTTTCCTATGTTTGATGGCCAGGTGGAGCCAAGTGAGTGGATCCAGGTGGATACCCACCTGCAACCCCCACAGTATCTGTAGCAGGACTTGCTCGCACTGACCGAGCACTTTGTTGCTGGGGCCATGGAGGATTCCAAATTCGTGGCCAAGGACCATGAAGATGGCAAGCCGCCAGAGCGCGAAGAGGTGGAAGCCATGCAGAAAAACCGCATGGAGTACCTCTTTTTTACAAGTCAGCCTCGCTTCCTGCAAATACACTCACTTGGCACATGTAGCATCACTTTATGACTTGACGTCATGTTCACATCCTTTTCGATACGTGTTTTGCATACCAGTATCCATCGCTGTCATTGATTCAGATTGAAGGCACTGGCAATGGATGATGCATGGTGCACATTCGATGTCAGGGAGAGACAGTGCCCAATCCTTTTCGGGCCGCAGTTCTGGCGAAGATGGGGAGCACATGTGCCACCGGAATACCGTCACTGGTAAAGCCCATCTTCGCCAGACTACATTTTCTTTCCCCACTTGGTACGTGACGTGTTTGTTATTTGAAGTGTTTGGTTGTGCTGCTGAGAGTAGTCAGGTGCGAACCGCAACACGTTTGCTTTCCAGTCTCTGCTGGATGAGAAAACAGCTGCCACCCTTGCGATCATGGAGTTGGAGCAGGTATATCATGGATCAAAACTGCAACGGGATTCTGCCAGTTGTATATTGAAGCATATTGGGGTAAGATTATTTAAACTATTTCTAAGTATGCTGAAGTTCCATGAAGTACCAGATAAATATGGTCAAGCCATAATTATTCAGCTATCAGACGTCTGGATGGTTGATTAACTGGTCTTGCCGTGTGGGATTCCAGGAACACTTCATCATGACTCCAGGTTCTAGATGGGGCCCTCTGAGTTATGAACTGGACAAGGCTTTTCTTCATGGATGACGTTTATCAAATTTATCCTAAGACTTGGCGGGGTTGGCCATCACCTGTATCGTGGTCCAGAAGTTTCCACTTCGTATTCTGCAGCTTACTGGAGCCTCACCTGGTTGAGGGATTCAGCACAGGAGTCGCAACAGTCGCACTTGTGGCACCCAAACACCAGCAAACTTTGCAAAGGAGAAGCTGCGTGGCTACGGACAGGACTGGAGTGTCTTAGGGTGGGTGATGTCTTTGTCCATGGTGATTGATGTTTGTGTGTCTTTGTTCCTAGTATACAATTGGTATCAATTGGTTTACAGCGATTGTTCTATTCCAATGTGGGAGCTACTCCAATGACATGTTTTGTTTTCCATGGTGTTGCCACTTTGCTGGGCATGAAATGGCATGAATAACATCTCACTTTGTTGTCCTCCACGGCATCACTCAGGTCCTTGGTTGGCCGGAGAAACTATTTCATTCGCTCAAAAAGTGAGTGGGTTTCGGTGACCGGTCGGTGGGGGAAGGAGTTCACAAATTTACCTCACGCAAGGCCAGCATTTCTCCAGAGTTGGTAGAAGGCAAGCATCCAGCCACGCCAACTGGACAAGAATACATGCAGCTGGGACAAAACCATAAAGCCTGGGTGGTGTTTTGATGGGGAAAGCAATGGTTTGGGGTTTTGGGGTCCCCCGATTTCGGGAAACAATGACAAGACATTGAAACACCCACATCATCCCACATCCCACATCCCACATCCAGATTCCATCCGCTACCGCTGTCCTTGGCTCCTTGGCTCCTTGGCTCCTTGGCTCAGTGGCAGATCACCCTAAAGCCATGGCGACGAAGCCGGTGAAATCCCTGGAGTCTGAGGAGCAGCGTCCCTGACCCAGTGGAGAAAATTTCTCGTTGCGCTGACGACATCACCACATGTATCACCATTTTGGAGCAGAGATGTAGACAATGTACCACAAATTTGCTGCACATAGATGGAACATCTGCTAATTTCCATGCTCTGGGCATGGTTCGCATGATATTTGGATTCCAGGGTCAGAATGTCCTGTCGCCCGAAATATTCACGGTTGGTTTCGGGTCTTTAAAAATGACCAGCCGTTTTTGGGTCTGCCGGGCTAGCACCTGTGCTATGCCCCAACGTCTTTTGGGATGATTGCCGGAAAGCTCTGTGGTGACCATTACAGTACTTTGTGGCCTTCCAGTATTTGGTGATGTAATAACTTGATGTCCCTGGGGCAAACCCAGGGACGTCGTTGATGCCCCTCTGCGGTGAATCTGCTGCAATTGCCACCAAAAAAGGCCGCTTTTACCATAGACCCTAAAAAGCCATAGAAAAAAATAGAAAAAACATGAAAAGAACACCTAATTAACCCGGAACCCTAAAGAACCCCTGAAAAACCCTATGAAAGTGATTGAAAGTGTATATAGTGAAGTACCTGTGGGGCATAGCGCAGGTGCTGCGGGTATGACTTGACCATCCACGAATCCGCGAATCACTGAGGGCTCCACCGCATCCGAATCACGCTGAGCAGCCGTGATGTCGGCATCCCAAAGCCATCCGCATCGACATCAATTTGTGCTTTGGAAATAGGGATGTTGCCCAGATCTATTCAGGTTCAATCAAATCCCATGGTTGTTCCATCAGATCCCGTAGACATCCCATCAAAATCCCATAGAAATCCCAGATCCCAACAGATCCCCTAGAAAATCTAGAAATCCTTCGTGGTTTCTCACCATTTTCCACAGTTTTCCAACGCCACAGGTGCGCGCCCTTGAGAAGGTCTGCTGTGACCTGGTGACAGGCGCCAAGGCCAAGGACGCGAAGCGAATCGCAGCCGATCGTCGAAAATAGCCAAAATCCCACTAGGATAATCTAAGACATAGATATCTACAGTGATAAATGATAAATGTATATAAATATGTTACTGTTCTATCGTTTTTTTTTTGGGGAGCTAATTGTATACTTCCTTAAATCCTCGTGACATACATTAAAAAGTAATAACTAACATACATTAAAAAACATTAAATACATCTAACATATGCTAAAATCATCTAGAGATACTAATGATTGGATCATTTCAAATCGGGGGTCGATTGGGTCGCCAAATTCCAGGACCTCAAGGTGGCTGGACCTACCCGTTGGAGCACACAGATGCTTCTGAGGGTTTGTGGAGATGGGTCAAAGGTGATTTGTTTGATAAATTGATAAGTAAAGCCAAGAATAGCCCATCCTAAAAAGTTGATGTTGTGTATTTATATAGTGTATTTTTAAGGCTTCACCATGGATTTTTCCTTACCTGAGCTTGACCGGAAAAAAGCTGAGCTGAAGCCCGCCCTAATTGGCGGTTCCTTGAGGCCTCCCCACCAAGATTTTGCGGCTCATGGTGCGTAAGTCTCCTTGCGGAGAAGGTCGCGGTTCGGCGTTGAAATCGATGGTTGGGCATGGTTGGGCATGGTTCGGCTCTGCAGTCGGGATGTTTTATTGCTTGGAAATTGCTTCATGCTGGTTAAGTGATACTTAGGATTTGAAGGTGTTGCTGCATTGCATTCGTTCTGATGGATCGCACGTCTTATTGATGTTGTGCTTTCCTTTGCTCCATGCTCCAGTGTCAAACAGATGCATCGCTTTGGCCAGGTACAAACACCTTCGACAGATGGGAGATGCGAATCCACAAGCGTTTGATCGACCTGCACTCGCCATCTGATGTTGGGATGCCAATGGCATGGGTTAGGGACCAGCCATGGCCGAAGAGGCGACATGAGGCGACAGGCTGAAGGAGCAAATCAAAGGAAACTTGACATTTGGAAACTCAATGTGATTCACCGAAAAAGTTGTTGAGGCCGGGTTTGTCCTTCATAGATGCACATACACATGACATACGCATACACATACAGATACACATACAGATACACATACACAAGCATGCATATACTATGGTCATATCGATTTGTGATGTATATTTCTGAGAGCAGTTCCCTTCTATCGCGGGGTAGCCTGGAAGGCGAGTGTTTTAAAACTTTTAAAATGGCCGTAATATACATGGCCGTAATATACATATATTATATATATACACATAATTATGTACAACTATCCTATTTGAAACCGCCAAAGTCCTACACATAGAATATTCATGTGTTTGCGACATGCCAAAATGACACACAGTAACACAATGTAACACTTCTAGGTCGCAATTTCTTGGTCGGCCTCAGGTGGTAAAGCAGATCACCTCCATTTCCATTGAGTCAGGGGACCCAGGGGACCCAGGGGACCCAGCGGACCCAGCCAGATGGGACCGAGGCCTGGAGTGGAAGTTGCGGGGATGCCTAGATGGTCAGACATCGGCTGGTCCAATTTTTCATGCTGTGAATCGGCTGGCAATTCTGGCAATGTCTCTAAGGAAGTCACCATTGCTGATCTGTAAGGGATTTCTTATTTGCCAACAAGTGGGGTGGAAACAATCTATATATATAATATAAAAAGAGAATATATGAAAGATGTCAAGTCTTATGATATATATATAATGCATATATATATATATATTATACTGTAACTACAATATAAATATATACTGGGTCAAAGTGGTAACTTATGCCGCGGTCATCTTCTTGTGCCGCAAACGGTGTGCCAGTGGGAAGTCCATGATATACATGTCATTCTTGCTGGATGAATTAATTGTTTGTGGCATGGGTTTTGTGCCACTTTGCAGGGGCACACATGTTTTTGAGACATATTCTTTTTGAGATAGAAACTCATGGGGATGGCTTTTCAATAGCTTGACAGCTTGACTCACACAGAAGAGAGAACAGTAGAAGAGAAGAGTATAGTAGAAGAGACTATATACAGAAGAGTAGAGAAGAGAATCGAGTTGAAGAGTAGAAGTTATTAGAGAGGCGTAGAGCAGAGAAGGGAAGAGTAGAAAAGATCCCTGCTGCCTTGCCCTGCTGCCTTGCCCTGCTGCCTTGCCCTGCTGCCTTGCCTTGCAATATCCCGATCTCGTACAGATCTCGTAAAGACCTCGTAAGGATCTCGTAAAAATCACGCTGTCAAACGGTACCTTGTGCTGTGTTGTTCAGTGCTGGAATGTTCCTGGTGTGCCACTGGGAAAAGCGTTTTGTGGGTATATTTTTCCCAGGGTAGGAATGAGAGTCCGCCAATGAGAATGACATGCAGAACTCCTGGTCTTCTAGAGATCAAGTTGATGGTGTGCCATGCGGTTTACAACGCTTTGTGTCAGGTTTAAAACAGATAAAAAAGGGTACAAAGCGTTGCAGTCCGCATAGGAACTGCATGAAAACAATGTGCACATACATAGATAGGTGTCGGTGTGCCGTGGTGATTTGGCTATGGCACAAGTTCTTCGGTTGTGGGGTAAGCTGTATGCCATGCGATGGGGTAAAATTATAGATTGTAATATAAATTATATACTAATATATGTATTTAATAATGAATATAAATTATATAGAATTATATCCATAACATATACAGATCAAGAACATATATTTTCATTTAATTTCTATATTATATTATTTAAAAATATATTAGTCACCTTAAAACATATATTTTATATATTAAATATATTCTTGGTTGTTTTATATTTATTTTAATTTTTATAATAATATAATAATAATTTATTTTTAATATATATATTTATATTTATAATAATATTTATATTTATAATAAATAGTTTTATAATTTTATTTTTTAAATTTAAGAATTTATTATTTTGAATTAAGGAATATTAAATATAAATTTTTAGATGTAAGTAATTTTAATAATAATATATATTAATAAATTAATAAATAAATTTTATTTAATTTAATTTTTAATATATATATATTATATTAATTATTAATTTATTTTTTTAATTTAAAAAAAAAATAAATATATTTTTATTAATATTTTTATATTTATATTTTAAAATTTTATTTAAAAATTAATTATATAAATTATTTTTTTAAAATTTAAATATATTTTTTAATTAATTTTGTCGATTTAGGGTCGCTTTTTTTAGGGTTTTTGGAATTGCTAATATTTAGGATCTGGTAAAATATATTTTTGGTATATTTTTTTTACGTTTCGGACGTCCTTGGGAACGTCCCTTTGGCTATGCTCGCTATGTTGGTTTGGCTAGAATCTCGCGAAATATGTCCTTAAAATGATTCCATATATTATAATTATATATATTAAGAGCAGCCGAGAGTAAATCGAAAGCGAGCGAGAACAAATCGAAAGCGAACGAAAATATTACTGAATAAGACCTTAAAAGTACACTCGAGGACCTGAAAAGGAATTTCGGGGACCTGAAAAGGAGTTTCGAACATATAGAAAATCGAGAGTAAATCGAGAGCTAATCGAGAGTAATCGAGAGTAAATCGAGAGCAAAGTAAAATCGAATTGAGAAGAATTTGCAAAGGTACAAACAATGATCGAGAGCAAAGTAAAATCGAATTGAGAAGAATTTGCAAAGGTACAAACAATGATC